AATATTTATATATTGTGTCAAAAAAAACAATAATGGTAATCATTTGCAGCAGTTTTTCTAACTTTCTTACTGTTTTGATTGTGAAAATATACACATTTTCATAATTATTTTTCTTTACTTTTTCAAAACCATTGATCAATGTAATTTATTTTATACAATATTATCAGAGAAATGTAAGCTTACTGTATCATATTTGACTCATAAACTTGAATACTTTTTGTTAAAAAAATCTTTTCAACGGTAGCTTTAGAAAAGTCATTGTTAAAAATATTAACTATGATGGATATGTTCAATCAATATGAAGGTTTTTTTTTTGGTCCCACTTTATATTAAGTGTCCTTAACTACTATGTACTTACATCAAAAAAAAATAAATACAATGTACTCACTGTGTTTATAATGTATTTGAGAACACTTGTGGTGCTTTTGAGTTGGGATAGATGTTGGGTTATGGACAGGTTTGGTGGTATGGGTAGGTTTAAGGGTGGGTTAAGGTGTAAGGGATGGTCAACGGTGTATTTACAAATGTAATTACAGAAATTAATTACAGATGTAATTACTTACATGTATTTAATCAAGCATAAGTACACAGTAAATACATGTATTTACACAATAACATTTTACATTGGTACATTGGAACAAACTATTAATTCCTGTGTAACTACATACTAGTTAAGGCCACTTAATATAAAGTGGGACCTTTTTTAACTCCTAATGCATTGCACTGCATACAGCCCAACAGAATTAAAATGACATCATGAAATGAAACATTTAAATGCTATTATTTTAAAGACAAACTAGTGGGAGATACTGTAGGAAATGATGCTATGATCAGTGTCTGCGCTTATGATGAAAGGTGCATATATGGAGTATATAGAATTTTAGCAATTGATCCAACATTAATCCAACAATAATTTGTGTGTACACACCCACACCATATAAGGTCTTTCCTGTATGATCACGTCTCTGTTTATTAATTTGCATAAATATGCCCTCACCATATAAGGGCTTTCCTCTATTATCACGTCCAGGTTCGTTAACTTGCATAAACACGCCCTCACCATATAAGGGCTTTCCTTTGTGATCAGGTCCCTTTTATTAATTTGCATAGACACGCCCTCACCACATAAGGGCTTTTATGTATGATCACATCCATGTTTATTATTTGCATACTCATGCCCTCACCATATAAGCACTTTCCTGTTTTGTCACATCCAGCTTTATTTGCATATACACGCCCTCACCATATAAGGGCTTTCCTTTATTATCAAGTCTAGGTTTATTAATTTGCATATTCATGCCTTCACAATATAAGGGCTTTAGTGTATGATCATATCCAGGTTTAATTTGCATATATACACCCTTACCATATAAGGGCTTTTCTGTATGATCACATCCATGTTTATTATTTGCATATTCATGCCCTCACCATATAAGGACTGTCCTGTATTGTCACATCCAGCTTTATTTGCATATACACGCCCTCACCATATAAGGGCTTTCCTTTATTATCAAGTCTAGGTTTATTAATTTGCATATTCATGCATTTACAATATAAGGGCTTTAGTGTATGATCATATTCAGGTTTAATTTGCATATATACACCCTTACCATATAAGGGCTTTTCTGTATGATCACATCCAGGTTTATTATTGTGCATATTCACACCCTCACCATATAAGGACTTTACTGTATTGTCACATCCAGGTTTGATTTGCATATACACGCCCTCACCATATAAGGGCTTTCCAGTATGATCACATCCTTGTTTATTAAATTGCATAGACACTCTCACCATATAAAGGCTTTTTTTCTGTATCGTCACATCCAAGTTTATAGATGTGCATATACACACCCTCACCATATAAGGACTTTCCTGTATTGTCACATCCAGGTTTATTGATTTGCGTAGACACGCCCTCACCATGTAAAGACTTTCCTCTATTATCAAGTCCAGGTTTATTAATTTGCATATTCATGCCCTCATCATATAAGGGCTTTAGTGTATGATCACATTCAGGTTTAATTTGCATATACACACCCTCACCATATAAGGGGGTTTTCTGTATTATAACGTCCAGGTTTATTGATTTGCATATACACACCCTCACCATATAAAGGATTTTCTGTATTATCACATCCTATATTGCATCCTCACTCTCACCATTTCCATATAAAGACGTTCTGCAAAATCTTTTCTTTCAGCCTTGTATAGAGCTCAATGATACAATATTTCAATTTTGAAAATCAAAATGAAAGTATATTGTATATTAAGTGCATTTATGTTCAGACATATGCCAGCAGCTCATGTAACATTTCAGTCAACCTGAAGGTCTTTGCATCCTTTTGACAGAACATCTTCACTGCACTGATTATTATTACTTTTGTACTGAGCTCATGTTTAATAACTGACGTCAAGCAGCAAGTTCAAAGACTGAAAAATCTTTATTGCAAGTGTACAATATAAACAATGAGCAGACATTGTTATAGTTGAATGTCCATCAGAGAGGTGTTACGAGCAAACAGAGACAGATGAAAGAAAAGCTACACGAAAAAAAAGAAAAGGAATCACGCTTTCTAAATGTCAACCATTTATCTTGTCATATTTTCTTTTAAGCTGGCAGGGACTGAAAACAAAACAAAAACACTAGTTTGAAAAATGAAACGTCCAGTGTTGCTTTTCTACGTTTGTTTGCGGATCAATTCAAGACGCTTTTGAGTTGATCGTCACTTGATCCAACCATAATTTGCAGTTTTATATTAGGGGGATCATTTTAGAGCATTAAAAAAGGCCAAAAGTGCATTAAACATCAAATAAAAGCTTCCATCACAGAATAAATAGTCCAGCACAAAGCAGAAGAGTCCAGGAAAGGACAGAGAACACAAACTTATTGTTAAAGGAACACTCCACTTTTTTCCCCCTATAATGTCAAAAGTTGAGTTTTACCATTTTTGAATCCATTCTGCTGATCTTGAAATCCGGCTGGAGCACTTTTAGCTTAGCTTAGCATAAATAGTTAAATCAGATTAGACCATTAGCATTCATACATTCATTCAAAATAAAAAATAAAGTCAAAATAGTTTGATAATTTTTCTATTTAAACTCGACTCTGTCGTCGTTACATCATGTACTAAGAATGATGAAAAAGTTGCTATTTTCACAGGTAATATGTCTAAGAACCACACTCATTCCAGCGTACCAATCAAGGCGCTGTGTAATATCATTGCTCCTGCAAACGGCAGCAAAGTTCCTTGATTATTAAGCCAGAATGAGTCAAACTTTAAATGGGGAACATTTTTACATCTTTTTTTTTTAAGGATAACGTTCTAATCCGATTCTATTATGTATGCTAAGCTAAGCTAACAGTGCTCCAACCAAACCTGGAGATTGGCTGAATGGATTAAAAAATAATAAAACGTAACTGTTTAACCTAATAAAAGTGTAGTGTTCCTTTAAGATGTTAACTTTGAGCTCAAGATGTGAATGATTTACAAGCGATACAAATTTCTGATGGAGATTAACATGAACATAAAATAAAAGCTTCCATCACCGAATAAATAGTCCAGCACAAAGCAGAAGAGTTTGAGAAAGGACCGAGAACACAAACTTTTGCTTATTCTTAAAGAAACACTCCACTTTAAGAAAAAATAGGCTTATTTTAGGTCTCCTATAATGTTAACAGTTGAGTTTTACCATTTTTTAATCCATTCTGCTGATCTCCAGGTCTGGCAGGAGCACGTTTAGTGTAGCATAAATAGTTGTATCGGGTTAGAACATTAGCATTCATTTATTCCAAAAAAAATTATAATAATCAAAATAGTTTCATAATATTTCTATTAAAACTCAACTCTTTCGTTGTTACATCATGTATTAAGAATGACAAAAAAAAATAAGTTGCTATTTTCTAGGTTGATAGGGTTAGGTACTATATTCTCATTCCAGCGTAATAATCAAGTCGCGGTGTAATATCATTGCGCCTGCAAACGACAGCAATGTTCCTTGCCAAATGAGTCAAACTTAAAATAGGAAACATTTTCACATCTTTCTCTTTTTTTTTTCTTTTTTAATTAGGCTAACGGTCTAATCCGATTCAATTATGTATGCTAAGCTAAGCTAAAAGTGCTCCAACCAGACCCGAAGATCAACTGAATGGATTCAAAAACAACAAAACTCAAGTGTTTAACTCAAAATATGAAAGTGTAGTTTATCTTTAAGATAATTAGCTCAAGATGTGAATGATTTACAAGCGATACAAATTTCTGATGGAGATTAACATGAACACACTGTGCAAGTCAGACATGGGAAAGGGAAATCTTTAGGTTTCTGAATAACACAATTTCTTTTTTTAATATATTGCTAAACAATACTGGCATTCGATTTAATACCTTGACAGTAGGAATTATAGTGAACGGTACACAAAAAAAGGCAAAGATTAAAAATGCTAAATAATATTACAGTATTTCAAATAAATAAAAAGAATCAAACAACACACTATGGATAATTGCTTTGATGCTTAAAAAAACACGCTAAAAAAGGGGGGGAAAAAAGCTTGTTGACCAGCAGTTTAAACAAAACGATAATAAAACACGAACATAATTTGATCTGGAGCTACCGGTGAATCATGCAAGGCTGCGAATTGAAACTGTATTATACAGTAGCTCTGTGTGTAGTTCTGCATGATTGGCACATGCTTCTAACAAACATACTTTGATTTCTGGGCTGCGTTGGTGATGGTAACAGTTTGAAGTGTGAATTATTTTTATTGCTTGTGCTACGAGAGCCTCTTTACATATTACAAATGTGCAAATACTAGAGCTGTACTGATTTGGGCTCTTCAAGCTGAAAGTTGAAGCTGGCAGAGATCCACTACCTTTTAATATCATTAGTTTCGCAGTGAAAAAAAACAACCTGAAATGCCTACCAAAATTACATCACTGAATCTACAAAAAAGTATTTACAAAATACAAAAAGGAATGCTTTCATAGAATAAACCTTGAAACCACTATTCCATTTTTTTATTTGGGTAAATGGAATGACATATTTATGTGACTCTGGAAACACAACGTTGCTGGTGAGAGCGAAGACTTGTCCATTTCAGCTCTTAGAACTTGTGAGCAAAGGGAAAATGGCACCTGACAAAAATGGCAGAAAACAACCTGGAAAAAGTCTTAATACAAAAACACACCACCGACCAACCGAACATATAATACTTGTGTGAAATTCTAATCTATTAGAACTCAAGTGTTGTTTGAGTGAGAAACCTGATCTTTACAAATAAAAACAAACACGATTCATACTTTTGGTTGCTCTTTCTGAGGTCTGTAAATGTTCAAGGGAAAGTTCAGCCAAAAATGAAAACGCTGTGATCATCTGCTCTTTTTCTTCAATCTTTCATCTATTTGATACAGTGGAAGTAAAGAGAAATTGGGACTCTCAAATTTTAAATGTGAATAGTCGATTGAACAGTTTGACGGCCAAAAATTTACGTAGTTATTTGCTGAAAATATTTCTTCAGAGGTGAAATAAAAAAAAAAATCACATACTTGTGTGAATCTTAAAGGGATAGTTCACGCAGAAGCTGCTATTAATTCACTCTCAGGACATCCGAAATGTAGATGACTTTTTTAGTAGATATAAAATATAACAGTAAAATATTTTGAAGGCTGAAATATTTTGAAGGCTGAAACTGGTGCTTTGGTGATTGATACAACGCAAGTCAATGGATGGAAACAGAGAGAAAAACAAAAAGAAAACTTCATACAAATAGATTATGTTTTAGATTATGTTCTAGTGCTTATCCTGTCTTCTAAAGCTTATATAAAGCAAAATAAAGACTTTGTCTGTTTAAAGTGTCAGCAGTGGAAGAACACTAGAATATTCTGGATTTATGATTTATAGCTGTGTTCTAGCAGAATGTCATTTGGTTCATTCTGTCAACATTTTAGCTAATTTAATGACTTTAAATGACAATAAGTCTAAATGACAGAAAAGTGCAGTGTTTTTATCTTTATGTTCATATTTAGGCAACACAATGTCAAAGTTTTATCTTTAAAACAGTTCAAAAAACTTAATATTTAGTGAAATAACTTAGAAAATTATGTTTTCATTTGTTCATTCAAGACAAAAAAACTCAACTAGAACACAATATTTGTGGATGAAACTTGGAAACAGGTGCTTTTGTGAACGATAAAATGCAAGTCAATTGTTAGAAACACTTTTGAGAGTAAAACAAAAGGAAAACTACATCCAAACAGATGTTCTGTTGTTGATCAGAATGATACTTGTGTTTATCATGTGTTGTAAAGCCTACATAAAAGAAACCAATGACTTTTTGTCTGTTTAAATATTAGCTATGGAAGACAGAGATCGCTTGAATATTCTAGATTTGTAGTTGTGTACACGCAAAATGTCAATTCTGTGAACCACTATAAACATTTCAGCTAATTTAATGACAATAAATGACAATGGGTCTAAATGACAGAAAGGTGCAGTGTTCATGTTTATATAGATATTTAGGCAACACAATATTAATGTTTTAAATTCAGAACAGTTTTAAAAAAACTCAATATTTTGTGAAATAACTCAACAAATGAATGAACAACAAATGTAAACGTGATTTTAACCACTCGTCATTTTCGGAGGCAAAAAAACGAAAGTAAATTACAATATTTGTAAATGAAATTTGGAAAAAAATGTACTACTTATTTAAAATAAGCTCAAATGTTCTTTTTTCAACCCTCTTAAATTTGTAAAAATGATTAAGTTCACTTGATCAGTTTGTGTTGAGACAACATAAAGGAATTGTGTGGAACCTTGTTTTTTTTTTTTTTACAGTCTAAGACCAAGAATAAACCAAATATGAATTGGTTTCCTCAATCATACAACTAGTTAACCCACATCTTCTTGCAAACACACTCAACACCATTTGCCAAGGATGTGAATTCAAAATAATATGGATCTCTAAATAGTGTTTCTTGCACAGATCAACTGTTTTAGTTCATACGAAGACGATGTGAATCTGAATGGGGTAGATATTAGTTTTGTTATGCATTTTCATAGTTTTCTGACTCTCAAAGTGCCAGCCATTTTATGAATCACCAAGAACTAGTTTCAGATCTCCTTTAGTGGTCAACTCAAGGACAAAACTGCATCTTAGACGGCCTGAAGGAACTAATAGCACAATTTGATTTTTAAGCTTTCCTTTTAAAGGGTTTGTTCACCCAAAATTGAAGCTTCTATTATTAACGACTAATCCTTGTGTTGCTCTAAATTCCAGAGAGCTTTGTTCAGTTTTAGAACATAAATGAAGATATCTTAGATGAAATCCGAGAGCTCTCCAAGGACAGAGATGTTCCAGAAAAGGAACCAAAACATAACTGTAAAAACAGCTTTGTTCGCCAATGTCTTCCTCATCAGATAAGTATCTGTGTTAATCACTACACACACTTTAGATAAAGAAGAACAAAGACATATTTACTGGTTTTTGGTGCCCAAAAGTGTTCTTGTAGCTTTTTTGATTACACTCCAACCACCGAAGTCACATGGAATATCTTGACAATGTGTTTTGTTCCTTTTCTGGACTTTTAAGGCCTCTAAACTTGCTGTTATTGAGGATGAGAGAGCTCCAGGACTTCATCTAAAAAAAATAAATTGTGCACTGAAGATAAACGGAGGTCTCAGGTGGACTTTTTAGGCCTCTTGACTTGCTGTTATAGAGGATGAGACAGCTCCAGGATTTCGTCTAAAAAACAAATGTGTACTAAAGATGAACGGAGGTCTCAGGTGTTTGGAAGGGCAATGAAATGAGTAATTAATAACAGTTAGTTGTAATTTGTGAGTGAACTAACCCTTTAATATTGCATGTACAATATTTAAATGAAAGTCATCAGTGAAAATCTATTAATGACTTCAAAGTTACAGCAAAAGTCATATAAAACACTGTTATGAAGCAGCTCATTATATTTGAAGATTTCATTTTAGTCCTCATATACTTTCACTGTTTCGTGAAGATTCCGTAAGTGCCTCCATTCAGCGTTTTATCATACAGATTGAGTAAATGATGGGCGTTTTCATTTTTTGGCTGAACTATCAGCTGAAGAGGCGAGTGGTTGCAGTATTATGCGATTTGGAAGTAGACTTTGTAAACTGTAGATTGCTGCATTGTCCATGTCTGAAGCAGGCCGGCAGTACTGTGTGTCTGGGTTTTACTTTAAGGCTCCCTGACTGGAGTATGACATCTGTGCTGCTGATGAGATCAAAAAAATTGCACTTGGGTAAATGTATCACGAATTTGGTCTCATTGCTTGATGAGTTGGAATGTAACTCTCGGAAAGTCTTAATTGATGAGTTATTTTATGTAAATATCTGTACATTTTGGGTTCTGTAATTCTAGAAGAACATAAAACAAACATAAAATGGCTTAACTATAAAACTGCCCAAACCGACAAACAAGTTTAGGATTCTAAAAAAAAAAAATTTGATTTTCTAAATGGACAAAAAGTCCATTTTCAGACATTCATCTCTCTATTTTAAAGGGATAGTTCACCTGAAAATGAAAAATCTGTCATCATTTGTTTACAGTTCCAAACCTGAAGGCTTTTAAATTTGCCAAACACAAAACAAACAAAGAAAAATAAGGAAAAAAGCCATTTTTCTTTGTGTTCCACAGGCATAAAAGTCATTTAGGTCAGAAAGCACCTTTTATAAGGTGAACTATCCCTCGTTTTACTGGTACGTTGACTGGAATACTCGACGGCAAACTGAATACACCTCATGTATCTTACCTTCTGTCTGTCGTAGCTTAACTGTTGCTCAGTTACAAAAAGCAAAACAATAAAAAAAAGGGAGAATCTGCATAATTTTGACATCAGAGCAAAGCGGAGAGCTCTATCTCTCTCCATGCTAATGGCTCAAAACAGCTGGTGCGCAGGCAGTTCACACAGTGATTTTGTGACCGAGTACTCTCTCTTTAGTACAATAATGCATGAGATTCTGAGGGCGAAACGTTCCTGGTGTTTCTTTCTGCAGATTAGGGATCACCTGGATGTGAAGTATGAGTTCGGCCTTTACAGTCAGCTCCTCCATAAAAGGCTATTTTTTCTTGACGGCGGCCAGTTCTTTCTGAATGTCGGCAAATTTGGGACGATTCTCTGGCTTGTACTCCCAGCATCTCTGCATGACCCTGTAGACCTCGTCCGGACACTTCTGCGGGCAGGACATCCTGTAACCTACATTAGACAAACACTATTTATTTTAAATGAACAGTTGGACAGGTTTTTTTTTCATTGATAAAACGCTAATAGTAAATACAATCAAGTCATGTTTACAACATTCTAACGTAAAGCAGTCAAACATACAGAATAATTAAGTAATAGTAATATATATCTTTGGTTTATTCACTAAAAGTGCAACTTGTATATAGTTAATTAAGAAATAAAAGCAATTCTTATTTTAGGTTTGTTAGATTCAATTTCTTGAACAGTTTATTTTATAGAATTAAAAGATCAATGAATAAAATCTCACAAAGGTAATAAAATGTCAATTAAATTATATATAATTTAATTCATATTAATTTCACATGGTTCATTTACTACAAAAACAATTTTTGTTCAGTAAATCCAAAAATAAAAACAGTTATGAATAGTATTTGTACTATTTCACTTCAGTAACTATCAATAATTATCATTATTGTTTTAGGATATAACCACTCACCGGCCACTTTATTAGGTACACCTGTCTAATTGCTCGTTAATGCAAATTTCTAATCAGCCAATCACATGGCAGCAACTATAAATTTAGGCATGTAGACATGGTCAAGACAAGAATCAGAATGGGGAAGAAAGGTGATGCAAGTGACTGAACATGGCATGGTTGTTGGTCTGAGTAAGAAACAAAGTGTTGATCTACTGGGATTTTCATGCACAACCATCCTTAGGATTTACAGAGAATGGCCTGAAAAAGGGAAAATATCCAGTGAGCAGCAGTTCTGTGGGCGCAAATGCACAATTTGGCATCAACAACATGAAAGCATAGATCCATCTTGCCATGTTTAAATGGTTCAGGTTGGTGGTGGTGTAATGATGTTGGACATTTTCATGGCTAACTTTGAGCCCATTAGTACCAATTGAGCATCGTGCCAACACTACAGCCTACCTAAGTAGTGTTGCTGACCACGTCCATCTCTTTATGTCCAAAGTGTACCCATCTTCTGATGGCTACTTCCAGCAGGAAAAAGCGCCATGTCAAAGTGTGAATCATCTCAGACTGATTTCTTGAACATGACATTAAGTTCACTGTACTCAAATGGCCACAACAGTCACCAGATCCCAATCCAATAAGGCACTTTTAAGATGTGGTTGAGCGGGAGACTCGCATCATAGATGTGCAGCCGACAAATCAACAGCAACAGCGTGATGCTATTATGTCAATATGGACCAAAATCTCTGAGGAATATCTCCAGTACCTTGTTGAATCTATTCAACACAAATCCACGAAGGATTAAGGCAGTTCTGAAGGCAAAAGGGGTCCAACTCTATACTAGTAAAGTGTACCTAATAAAGTGGCCGGTGAGTGTACATTGAATATAATGAAATATAAATACAAAAATTCATCATAAAGAAATCATAAATTAAACATGTAAACATTAACAAAAACAACTTGAGACCAATTAAAATGAAAGATAACTCGATTACTATTATGAACATCACATCAGCACATGGTTCTGCTGTTAAAAGTGGAATCTGCATTGTACCTTTTTCCACCTGTTCTCGGGCCTGCTGGTTGGTCATGCCAGGGTAGGGGCACACTCCTAGACTAAAGGTTTCCCACAGGAGGATTCCGTAACTCCACACGTCACTCTCTGAGCTGTATCTCCCTGTCATGTAAACAACATATCAGTCTGAACCAAAGCTTATTTAATTAACATATTCGCTTATCTGAACTTGTTAGATTATACTGCATGTACCAAACATAAAACAAATATGAGTGCTATGATATAAACAGCCATTGTTTTCATTTCACAGTAGAAGTCAAAATGATCATTTATAAACATACATACAATTTTTTAAAATAATTATTACACCATTAAGTGGAAGAAAAACCCTTAAAATTGAACATTTCATCACATGAGTAAGGATGTTACGACTGTAAAGGGATGGATCACAACATTAAAAGCAAAGTGATAATTCATTGAGCAATATTTGGGAGTGGAAGGTATAAAATTTATTTATTTACAAACCAAAAGACAAATAAAGTATTTCAGGAGAGGACAAAAGCCAAAACAACAAACTAAAATCTTTTATTTAACTACACTGTAGAAAAAAATGCACGTAAAGTAGCAGTTTTCCACATTTTGTGGTTCATGTTTTTATTTTTTCTTATTTATTTCTGCTTTTGAATTGCATTAAAACACCTTGATCTTTCTTCAAACAACTTTTAACCTTGAAACAGTCAAAAAAAGTGACTTTCATGAACATTTTTAATAGTTTAAAGAGCTATGTTGTCTGAGTTGGTGTGATATATTACTCTACAAAAACTTTCTGATAAACTATCAGTATTTGCTATTATTTTACAGACGTATATCTCTAAATATTATTTCTTTTACATTAGAATGTTTTAAACTAACAAAATATAAATAATTCACTATAGAGTTGAATTTTCAACATCAAAAGCTGACAGAGCAGAGATCAAGGTCCCATAGAGCAATTCACAACCGTAAAAATAAATAAATAAGGAAAACACAATATTAAAAGCAATCTGTTATTAAACATATTTTTTACAGTGTAATTGTTTAGCTGCTAAGTAATAGTAGTATGAATTATTAGCCCCCTGGTTTATTTTTTCCCTAATTTCTGTTTAACTGAGAGAAGATTTTTTCAGCACATTTCTAAACATAAATTATTAACTCATTTCTAATAATTGATTTATTTTATCTTTGCCATGATGACAGTAAATAATATTTGACTAGATATTTTTCAAGACACTTCTATACAGCACAAGTGACATTAAAAAGCTTAACTAGGATAATTAAATTAACTATGCAGGTTAGGGTAATTAGGCAAGTTATTGTATAACGATGGTTTGTTCTGTAGACTATCGGGGGGAAAAAAAAGTTAGTTTGAAGGGGCTAATAATTTTGTCCTTAAAATGTAAAATTATAAAAATTAAAAATTGTTTTTTTTCTAGCCAAAATAAAAAAAATAAAACTTTCTCCAGAGGTCAAAATATTATCAGGCACAATGTGAAACATTTCCTGAATTTCATACGGGAAAAATGAAAAAAAAAAAAATGAAAAGGGGTTCTAATAATTCTGACTTCAACTGTATGTAAGTAAACCCCTGTGAACAAAAACTGTGAACACTGCATTTATGAGGAATTATGTGCCTCACACAGGTGAGTGGGCTTGACAAACCTCATGTAAAAACTCTCTCCTCTATATTAAGAAAAAAACATTCCCCCTCCATAGTCCAGCAATTAACTCTCTGAGCACAAACAGTTCTCTTGTATTATTAGCACTTCTTGTGTGTGTTGCCTCCTCTTGAAGAGACGCACACTAAACGTCTCCTGAATTGTAAGTTGCTTTGGAAAAAAGTGTTTGTCAAATGACTAAAAGTATAAATACATTTTAAATGTGAAAAATACATTTTATATATTGAATAATTAAAATAAATTTTTAAGTAAAAAAAACACATATAGATGAACCATTTTATTATTTATTTTACATTTTCTTTCAATAAGGAAGATTGGTAAACAAGATATTCACGTATGTGAAAATAAACACTATTTGTATTCATTGCTGTAACACTATCAAAATATCAAACCTACAAAAACCTAAATATGAACATTTGTGAACATAAGTGTTCTATTTAACAGCATCTCAATTAATAAACACACACACACACACACACACACACACACTATCAAAAAATTAAAACAAAAAAGAATGTAATGATACAGTATGATTTAAACAGCCATTGTTTCCTGTGATCATTTCTAAACGTACATAAAACACATTAAAATAACTGATTTGGTTTTCCTACCATAGTTGAGTGCTTCTGGTGCGGTCCATTTGATTGGGATCTGTTTCAGTCCTGATGAGGAGTAGATGCCGTCGTCCTCCTGTCGGGACATCCCAAAGTCACTGATCTTCAGCACATTGTTCTCTCCCACGAGGCAGTTGCGAGCAGCCAGGTCTCTGCAAGATTGAGAGAAATGCTGGAATTCAGTACCTTCAGGGTTTCACTGGACCATTCATTTTTTGTTTTGTGCTTGTAAACTAAGAGTCAATTTGTGACAACTTTTTGCTAAATATTCAACAATATTTGCAGGATTTCTGGTTTACTTTTACTGTTAAAATACACAAGAAAGTATTTAAATTTTTGAACTTAAGAACTGTTGGACTCTTTAATTTATATAAGGGAAATCATATCAAAGATCTCTCCCTCATAACCTCCATCAAAATATTCTTAATTTTGTTTAATAATCTCTTCCACATCAGCAAAATCATTAGCATTATAAAAATCATACCTAAATATTTATTACATTTGATGCATTTGTTCAGTCAGTCCGTTGTCATACACTACATGGCCTGACCTGATACAATATCTAATTTTTATTGTGCGATACATTGCACCAAAATGTATTATTATTGTCATTTTAAGACCATTTTCTGCCATTCAATATATAATGCCAGTATGACAAAAAAAATAGCATAATAATAAAAGTAAAAACTAAATAAACACGGACTATTTTATTCTTAAGAGCACAAATAAAAATAATGAATGTAGGCCTGTCACAACAATTAATATAATGATTTATTGTGCAATAGAATAATTATTATTAATAATAACTCAATAATTTTTGCCACTGTAAAATATATTTACAAATTAAAGCCATTTTACAGTGACATTTACATTTTACCTCATCGGTGTCAAAGTTTATAACTGGGCATTTACCTAATAGGACATTTAGTAGTATATATAATTTACCTTTTTAACATCAAATTATAGAAACTAAATAACCTTAAAAATTGTGAGTATTTTAAAGTGTTTATGGCTATGTGCAATATTTGCAACTGTTTAACAAAGTAATTCTAGACTAAGATTTTAAAAGAAATTCATTTAGATTTGTATTATTTGTGTTTTTACTTTGCTTTAAACAATCTTATTTAATCAAAAGCGCCAGCAAAGGCATTTAATACTTTTTAAAGCATTTCTAGTTTTATTTAAATGTTGTATTCTTCATAGAATCACAAAGAAAATGGCACTTTTTGATACCATGACACCACAAAAAAAGCAACATAACAGTTTTCTAAATTGATAATAAAAGAAACGTTTCTTGAGCACCAAATCAGCTTTTGGAAAACCTAAATTCAACATCATAAAAATTTTTATTTTAAAATATACTAAAATGGACAACCTTTGAATTGCAATAAATATAATATTATACCTGCTTTTACAGCGTTTTTTTTGTGTACAATTTTGGATTAGCTTTTGGATATTGTTGGCAAATTAATTGATGGTTATCAAAATGTGTTTTTTTTTCTTTTGGTAAGATTGATTTGGAGAGATATGGTATGATATGGCTATACCACTTGTTCCCCCTTTTTTTTTGACAGTGGTGGGGAGTTCTTCTCATTTCAAGTGACTGTATTCTTAGCGGTAGTTTTGCTGTTATGGTCCATGTGACAAATCTTAAAGGGTGTACTCACACTAGGCTATTTGAACTGTGCCCAGGCACGTTTTACCCCCTTTTCCCGGTTCATTTGACAAGTGTGAGTGGTGCGAATTGGGCCCAGGTAAAGTTCAGTTGGCCAGCCCTGGCCCCGTTGGAAGAGATGTGTCAGAGCACGGTTCGGTTGGGCTTTGTTGCAGTAAGCTTGTAGTGTGAGTGCAAAGCATGCTTGAGCGCCAAACTGAAGACAGGACGTCACTTATAAGTAACAGTTTTATATGGATTTATTAATCATTCTTACTTTTCCAAGAACATGAACCATCATAGTTTATTAAAGATGCAAATCCCCTGCTGTGTGATAGCTGTCTCCTTCAGTAAAGCTCCTAATACGTGCATTATGACGACTTTCATGAACATTTATGTGCGTCAAAAGTGGTGGATCTGTTCAGCAAAATATTGGACTGCGTGTCACTGCATATAAAACGACTTAAAAATAATACAAAACAATATAAATACTGCAATCTCCATTGTGCTTCTCTTCCAGTTTAACTGAACAGTTGCATCATTGATGAGGTAAGCGTGCTCAGGCTTGGAAGGCAAAAAAATGCAACGTGAGTGCTGACCAAGGGGAAGAAGGGAGAGGGGGACAATCGTGCTTGAGCAAGGTTTTTTAAGACAACTGTGCCTAGTGTGAGTACACCCAAAGACTGATAGGAGTAGAGCTCACAGAAATCTGATTTTGGTTTCTAGACAGATATTTTTGTCTTTCCAAATTCCTTATCTTTGATATAGCAGAAGTTGACATCTATTTTTGTCCCTCTTCACTAATGACAGGTCCTAAGTGCTTGAACTGACTCCAGTTTCCAGTTCTTGCCCGCTGACTTTGATATTGGTTGAGATTTGTTTGACATCATTTGTCATTAACTTAGTCTTCTCTGCACTCATCCCCATAACGAATCTGGAGTTTTTTTTAATCAAGGGTTTTCACTAATGTGGCAAGCTCATCCTTACTGCCAGCCAGCCCATTAATAGCCCCTTTCACACATACAGACCTTTTCGGAAAATTGCCGGCAATTTTCCGGAAAGGTGTGTATGTGTGAACGGGTCCTTTTTGAAAATACCGGTAAATTCGTTCTGGCTATTTTCCGGAAAGAGAAGTTGTAACATTACCGGCAATTTGCCGGAATGCTGCGCTGTGTGAATGCAGAAGGAAGATTCCCGTAATAAGCGCGTGCACGTCTAGAACGTGCTGACGTGAGGCGTCTGCTTTAGCCAATCACAACAGTCAGACGCATTTACGTCCGCGCGGTTTGTGAGGATAAAAGCCTTTGAATATTTTTCCAGACACATTTAGCTGCTAGAAGTTAGTCAGATCACGTTTATATGTTCTTCTTAATGCCAACTGTGTAAATAATCATCGATGAGATGCTTATGATAAGCCGTTGTTTGTTTACCTTCAAGCTTTGCGTGCGCCTATGAGCGCCAGCACACGCACATATTATGAACATCTCGAGATGCGAAAGTGATCCTGCAAAAGTTGTTCATAATATTGATCATCCACAGAGTTTGTAATGTAGTCAAATGTTTACAAATACAAGCGCAGCCGTTTAAAGCTCATTTGTGGTGAATGATGTCAGAATTTACCGGTATTTTGGAATGGATGTGTGAATGCTCTTTTCCGGAAAATTTCCGTAACGTCCTCGCCTGTGTGAACAGCGCTTTTTTGAATATACCGGTAAAGTCGTTCTGGAAATTTTCCAGAAATTTACTGGTATCACTGTGTGAAAGGGGCTAATGTCATCTCCAAAAGGAAAATTGGTGATGTTGCGCCCTCCAATGCTTACTGTGCCCTAGTGATGCTCCAGATGGGCTCAAAGTAGATGTTAAAAAGTGTGAGTGATAGAAGACAGCCTTGATGTACACTAACTGTTTTCTGAAACAATTCCCCCAATCATATATTGAGTGTGACAATTTTTTTTAAAAAAGAACAAAAAGGCCTACAAGTATGCATATCACAAGAGTCGGAATTTTAAATCACATCTTTAAAACACCTCTAAACGCTGATAATCATATTGAGAACATCTCTCTCAGACATGAAAGATGACTGTCTAACACTCCTCCATCCTAGAGCAGCGATTTAAGATTCTGGTCTCCATCCACCGCGGGGGATTTATGCTGAGCAGACATCCTCAGCCACACAGCCATATTAGCTTGTCACATCCCAAAAATTGCCTTGCTGACATGAGATGGGGAAAGACAGTGGGGGGGCGGCGGAGAAGAGAGCGGTGATCTGACAGAAAGGTGCTCCAACTGCTGCCGCCTCTAACATGATCATGTCTGATAGTAAATGGGTTTTAGAGGGTGCTGATAGAGCCGTGGCTGTGAAAGCGGTCTGAGCTCATTTCTCAGACTCAATTGTGAGCGACGTGTATTCAGCAGGCTGACTCCGGCCTCAACAGCCCAATGCACAAAAGCCCATTTCACAGTTTAAAAAAATAAATAAATAAGAAAAATCTCCACCAAACAAGAAACAGGAGGAATGGTGCCGCTCAGTCTTGTTATTTTTCAGTTGTTTATATCACGAAAAAGAAAAGTTTTATTATGATACTGGCGATGGTGCACAGTTTAAAAACATTCAAGAGGAAATCAGTTTTTGGGATGCACTGATATTGACATTTTGGCACCGATATTCATTCATTAATTTTCCTTCAGCTTAGTCCCTTTATTCAACAGGGGTTGCCACAACGGAATGAATCGCCAACTTATCCAGCATATGTTTTAGGCAGCGAATCCCCTTCCAGCCACAACCCACCACTGGAAAACACTCATACACTCCCGTCCACACTAATACACTATGCCCAATTTAGCTTACCAAATTCCCCTTTAGCGCATGTCTTTGATCTGTGGGGGAAAGCGGAGCACCCGGAGGAAACCCACACGAACATGGGGAGAACATGCAAACTCCACACAGAAATGCCAACTGACCCAGCCGAGACTTCTTGCTGTGAGGGTAAACCACTGAGCCACCATGTTATATTATAACCAATATGTTTATATTTGCAAGTCGATAACCGATAAATCCAAATCATGCCACATTACGTTTCCTAAACCAATTTACAAAAACAAAGGCGAAACAACTACGGTAGAACTGCAGAAACTCTTTCTGCAAAGTTATTAAAAAAAAAAGATGGGGTGCAAAGCAATATTTGCTCATGCTTCATTTGTAGAAAATCACGTTATTTTTTCATTTACCTTACTTTGATTATATACTGCTACTCAGCATACATGAAAACAACTGTCATATTTCCCAATTCCTCTGAAAACCCGCCCTCAAGAGGCTTGAGGTTGATTGGTCAGCTAACATAATGTGCAGTAATTCGCAGATCAGAATCAGAAAGAGCTTTATTGTCAAGTATGTGCACACAAACGAGGAGTTTGTTTTCATGACAGAGCTTCTACAGTGCAACAGAATACAAAGACAGGACAAAAAACAGATAATAAATATATTTTAAAAATAAAAGTAGTGAATGCAAATATACAAATTGACAAGCGGTTGTACAGGTATATTACTATTTACATCACCAGGAAGCATCTCTGTTATAACATTACAGCGCCTCTGGCCACACCCCTTTGCTGCGTGTGGTGTATGTGCATAACCTAAAGGCTTTATGACATCATTAACCTGGATGTATTTTTTGTAGTGCCCAAACTTTATTCGCTGTAGGCTTTGCTAGGCTAACTTTGTAAAAGCCAATGTCTCCCTTTGCATTGAACTTAAAGCGTCTTACATTCAGAGATGCTGTTTATGTTCACACAGCTACATTACACATCAACTTTAGACCACCTCTTTAGTGACACGTGTAAAACAAAAATCTCACAATATTATACTATTGATGACATTTTTTAAACTTCATTTGGCTGAAGCAGGTAACTTTACTGTTGGGCATTTTTGAGAAGTGCTCATTTACAGAGTCAGGTTTGAAATATTGACTGTCTATTAGTGTTAGCTTTTTACAGACTTTATGATCCCGATTAATGCTTTGTTTCTAGATAGAAAAAAGTGTTGGAGCACATACTGAATAAAGCCCTGTATGATTGGGATCAGTCAAAAAGCCATTCATTTTTCATATATTCTGACTAATATATATAAAAAGTTATCTGTGTATTTTACTTTCATTTTCCAAGTCTAATTTGTACAGCACCTGCATATGAATCAAAGGTGTTAACAGGCAAACGTTAAGACCTTGGAGAGGCTGTTAGTCAGCAAAGGTTTTAGCGCTACACAAGTGACTGTTTAACTTACTGAGAGATATTGAACACGGAGTTATTCTGTACTTTCACAGTGAATTCAGCAACCCAAAACCGATTGGTAGCAGTTCAATTTGGGCCACAATTGAGGGTATTAACAAACCATTAACTAACTCTACTAGCTTAATAAACTACTAATTAGCTGTAAATCATATATACATTTAAAATCAGAATTATTAGCCCTCCTTTGATTTTCTTTTTAATTTTTTTATATTACCTAAATGATGTTTAACAGAGCAAGGACATTTTCACAGTATGTATGATAATATTTTTTCTTCTGCAGAAAGTCTTGTTTGTTTTATTTCGGCTAAAATAAAAGCAATTTTTAAACACCATTTTAAAGTCAAAATTGTTAGCCCCTTTAAGCAAATTTTTTTTGATAGTCTACAGAACAAACCATTATAATATAATAACTTGACTAATTACCCTAGCTTGCCTAGTTAACTGAATTAACCTAGTTAAGCCTTTAAATGTCACTTTAAGCTGTATAGAAAATTCTTAAAAAAATATGTAGTCAAATATTATTTACTGTCATCAGGGCAAAGATAAAATAGATCAGTTATTAGATTTAAGTTATTCAAACTATTATGTTTATAATTGTGTAGAAAAAAAAATCTCTGTTAAACAGAAAAATAAACTGGGGGCTAATAATTCAGGGGGGTTAATTATTTTGACTTCAACTGTATTTAGATGTTGGGTTTAGGTTTTCAGAATAAGATCATTCTTTATAACTACTAATCAACCGTTAATATCTTCTGATGGTAAGCATGACTTGTGACCTAAACTAAAGTGATACCAACCATTTTTCTAAAATCACAGGTAAAAGGTCACCTCAGACGACCTGATCCTACTATGAGCACTCCACTTGTGATCAGACCTCTGAAAATAGATGTTAATACCAGGTGGAAACAGAGTTTGTGTCACTTAAGAGGGTCAGATTTTCTGGCTTTAACTTAATTTGAACATGATTTTGGTGTTGTGGATTAGACAAATATTCCGACCAATCATCGTTTGCAGTCTCGAACAACATGCATAATGTCATTACAAAGGTGGAACTAGAAACGACTTCCAGAAACAAGAGCATAAACGAACAGCATTTACCCAAGCAGTGTGATTTATACTGTCCGAGGAAAAGACAAAAGAAAGATTGGTGCAATAGCTCCATGTACTCCACCTAGCAGCACCAACTCCATCATCTTTCTTTTGTTTCTCCATGCATGAAAGCTGTGCATGCAAGAGCTTTTGTGCTCCTAGTGGTCAGTGTAAAAGATGTCATACAGCTTGTTCGGGAGAACTGTAAAAGATTAAACTAATTCTGTTGGGTTATCATGAAGTATCTTCACCCTGGTATCAGTTGTCATCAACTCTTGCAGAATATACAAGATAAAACCGTTGAATCTTCCATCTGAAGCCCTCCATTGTTTACGAAACACTTCAACACTATGTCAAACAGATATCGTAACAGATATTATACTGTATACTGAGTAAATTACTAGATTTCACTGCTTTTCACTTTTTTTATCAACACTTTTGATAAAAAATTACATTACAACTATTTACAGCAATGTTTCTAAACTAAGGGGGCATTCACACAGTATGCACTGCGTGTCTGAAAATCCAACATTCATCGTTTACGAATGTTATTCGTAATGTGTTAATGTCATTTAACTTAACCCACTGGTTGATTATTTAGCTTGTTTTAAAATGTAAAACTCACTTAAGCTTGACTTATTATTTATGAAAATAAAATAATGTTTTATAGCTCTTTATAAAATGCTTCTTGATTTAAGGACTTTTAGATATTTAGATATTTAGATTTAGATATTTAGTTATATATTTCTTAATCAGGGGCAAGTTTTGCAAAAAAAAGAGTAGGCGCTGTGTACAATATTGCTTTTTTTAAACCAATAGCCATGTTAATAAAGGCTTTTTAACTTTTTCACTTACTTTCCGAGTGCCTTGGATTAGCGGTCTGCATTCGGACCAAATTCCTGGCATTTCCTTAAAGGACGTATAGGAGTCTTTTCAATGCGTCATAGGCACAAATGGAAAAAAATACCCTTTGCGCAATGTGATAATATTTATTTTTACCCTTTAGCAGTCACAAGACTGAAACCTCAGATTTAAGGTGGCACTCATGTCTCATCACAAAGGGGCAAACAAAACTGACATTTAGCCTACAATCCTTGCACAACCCGACAGTTTTATCTATTACTTCTCTTGTTTTGTAGTACCCAATTTAAATGTGAGATTTTGGAAACCAGATCTAAATTTAGCTGAAACGGTTGGGTCAGGCAGAATATTATACTAAGCGGGCAGTAAAGACTGAAAATAGAGGGAGCGGTCGGGTGCGGAATAAAACCTTGCGGGACTGGGACTATAAAAACAGTCCTGTGCAGACCTCTACCTTGGACTTAGATTAGACTTAGATTTTTTTTTTTTGTTGTTTATCTTATGAATCCCTTATCCAAGACGCACATCAAATACCCCTGAAGCACTTTTTTATTCTTGTTTCATTGTTATATTATGAATAATAAATCTAGATTGCATTAAATGAAAATTTACAACTCAGAAAATACAGAAGAGATACTACAATGTAAATAGTTCAGATTAATTTCAGTAAAAAAGCAAATTTTAGCAAATTGTCATAAAAATAATTTGACTAAAAAATTTTTTCTTACCTGTGTATACAGTTCTTTAGCTCCAAGTATGCCATTCCTCCAGCAGCATCTAATGCAAACTTTACAAGTTGCTTTGTCTTGAGGTCTTCCTTTTTCTTCCTTAAGAATGATAAAAAGTCTCCACCTGTCGAGAAAAAGGCAAAGCAAATGAGCTACAAATATGCAATACATTAAAAGAGACACCAACATCCCAAACAAGTGTATGACACAACTTTTAATGAGGAATGCTTTTCAGTGGCTAATGGCGGAGGGAAAGATCCAGTTTACTGACCTGGCACAAGTTCCATTACTATGTAAATGGGCTGCCGTTGGGTACAGACGCCTATTAACTTCACAATGTTAGGGTGGTCGTACTGCTTCAGGATCCTAGAGGTAGAGGAGGCATAAATGACCACGTTATTTCATCTCTCATCTTTATTTTTAGCAAAATTATTAATCAAGTGAACATTATTCATTGATATTGTATGGAAAGTGTCACCTGGCTTCTGAGAGAAACTTTATCTTGAGGTCTTGCGGTAGATCTTCTTTACAAGTTTTGACAGCCACCGGTGTTTTATCGCGTAGCGTTCCTTTAAAAACCTCACCAAAATTTCCCTAAAACAACATTTGCCCAAAATCAATTAGTGTCTATGTTTAAAATAATAAAATGACAAAAAGTACTATGAAGATGGAGGTTTTTCTTAAAATACACGTTATTATGCCTTCTGAAAATATGCCATAGTGTTTAAACAAAGAATGGGTAATTGCAGCTGACAAATGAACAAAACTCTCTGTGAAATTTCGTAATTGTGTTTAATATTTTACTGACTAGTTGGTTAGTTCTTCAGGCTACCATTTTTAAAAAACTTACACTTTTACTATTGGTAAAAGTCTAACAAAAAAAATCACCATGGTACTTAAATACAGTAAGAGTCATTCAGCATCCAATGCAGTCTGAATATTTTTCAAATATATAATCATGTAAAAGTTTATGTAATCAAAAACACAGTAACACAATTGTATACACTGCAAAAAAAATCTGTTTATTAACAGTTTCTGAGTTATCCATTTATTTTCAGTTGTAAATTGCACTACGAGACCTTGATTTCTGCTCTGTCGACTTTTGATGTTAAAAATTCAACTCTGCAGTTTAACAAGGTGACGTTATTGACATTTTAGTCACTTGAAATAGTATATTGTATAAGATATAATATATACAGAGAGATAAGTCAGAAGATGTACTGGCAGTTTATTACAAGGTCTTTGTGCTGTAATATACAACATCAAACCAGACAATATATCACTTTAAACTAATAAAAATGTTGATAAAAGTCACTTTTTTTGTGGACTTTTCAAGGTCCCTTAATGCAATTCAAAAGCATAAATAAACAGGGGGAGGGGGGATAAAAACAGGAACCACAAAATACAGAAAACCGCTAATTTACAGATATTTTTTAGAGTGTAGTGAGATATTTTGTACTTTCAATTTGTTAAAGTGATGGCAAAGCTGAATCTTCGCTATTACTACTCAAGTCTTCAGCATTCTTCAGAAATCATTCAAGCTGTTATTAAAGTGAAATGTGGAAACAAAATCAAAAATGTCAATTCATGGCCTTACACTTTGATCTGCGGAATGTTTTTTTTATTTTTTTTTTATTTGCAGTGCTCAACTACACAACCAATCACACATTTCTGGGTTGAACTTACATGCCCTCACTGACAAAAATAAGCACTATACTGAATTCTCTCAACATAAACGAACTGTACAGATCATAAAAAAAGTTATGCATCGTGTTTCAGTATAATGGATGATTTTTTGGTAAATATGCCAAAGTTGCAATAGAAAGACATCACCATAAACACATTTTTAAAAAATATTTTCTAATAATCAACAATATTAGAATACTAACAGCAATACCAAAGAAATCTGTACATTCTGTCAAAAAAATCAAAGCCCTGCTCTATAGCTGTGACTTTTGTAAATGTTTAATTTATATATATATATATATATATATATATATATATATATATATATATATATATATATATATATATATATATATATATATATATATATATATATATATTATTTATTTTATTTATTTTTTTTTAACTCCATAAAAAATCTAAATTCAAAAAAAAAAATCTAAAAGATTTTTAAAGATTAATTTTTGGCTTTATCATGATGTTGACATTGGCAGGAAGCGAAGTCGGAGGGGGATGGAAACAGGAAAGGTCAGAATTGAAACTTGGAATGGCCACAGTGCAGTTGTGCTTTATGTTGGCACACTGATCACTAGGCTATTGAACTCTTAGTTTAAATATTTTAGGGTTAGGGGTTAGCCAAAAGCAGAGCCAGACAGAATCTGTGGACATTTATTGCTATTTTTCTGCAGAATTTTGTACAAAAATCTGTAAATTTAAGCACAGTACAGTAACTTAAAACTAACAGATTAAAAAACTACTTTAACTTTTATTTAAGGTTTACAATACAAATGCACAGCTAGTGTTTTTTAGCCAATGATGAACTTCCGGTGAAAGCTTTATGTGGCTATTTTCAATATCATACCCTTTCTTTTACAGCATAGATGTTGTAATGTAATCAAAATTTAATCAGTTAAATTGACTTGAGCATTCATTTTTTTGGTAAAGTGTAAAAAGAGACTAAAGACTGTTTAAACGCAGGTGCCGTCATAAGCAGCAGGCTTGCGCAGAAACTCCACTGAAAATACTGGGGTAAAATTAATTTCCACATTTTGACATGCTACAGAAGGATATAATTTAAAGATAAAAGCTGCAAGCAGCGGTGAAAGGGACCACCGCTGCACAGTGGCCTCAGGATAACAGAGAACAGCGAACAATAATAATTTAAACTGATATATTTTAAAAATCTGAGAAGATTACAGATTTATGCTAAACGTCCTCCTGTCAGCAGGTGGCGCTATAACTGTGGCTCAATGTTGGCATGTATATGCCTTCAGAAAAGGAATCTCATCAAAACTGTGAATTTTCAGGCAGATCAGACATTGTTTGGCTGCGTTATAAGTATTTCCTCCTTCACGAAGAAGCACTGAATTTTGTCAGTCCGCCACGGACACGCTCTTCAGTGAAAACTTTAGATCTTCACAATATATCATCATCACAATATGTTATCTAAAGTGTTCAGATAACACCACCCACATTTGGTGCTGATACGATAACATTTGTAGGAGTAGTTTGTTGCACTGTAAAACATGTCATTTCCTGTTGCCAGCAGGTGGCGCTATAACTGTAACTGGAAATTGGCATGTAAACAGGTTCAGGTCAGGACTGTTATCAAACGTTTGAATTTTGAGGCTGATCAGACAATGCAATTATAATGAAGTTTTAACAACTTCCTGTTTCATGGCGAATCGTCAAAGTCTGAGAGGCTGCCACGGATACGCCCTCCGATGAAAACTCTAGATCTTCACAATTTAACATCACCAAGGCCTTTAAATGACAAACCCAATTTTGGTGTTGATTCGATAAAATCCCTAGAAGGAGTTCGTTAAAGTACAACACCTGGAAATGGCAAAAACGCCACTTTTTCGGTGCAGAAAGTTAAAAATATCTGACTTCCTGTTGGGTTTGAGATTTCGCACCCAGATACTTTTTTGTAGGTATTGGCATGTTTGAGGTGTCTGCCAATTTTGGTATGTGTGAGTAGTTTGCGGGGCACTTTGTTGAATTTTTATAGGTGGCGCTATTCAATCATTTTGCCACACCTATTTTTAAAACCTATAACAAATGTAAATTTTTGCCACTTCTGCGGCGTGTGCACATTTTCGTGAGTTTTCAGGCATGTTTAGACCCTTCAAATCCTAATTCATTCCGAAACAGAATAATAAGAAGAAGAAACGGAAAAATTCCGATAGGGCCTACGCACCGTAGGTGCTCGGTCCCTAAAGAGCTTCTTGTTTGATTTATGCATATGCAGATTCTACGTGGTCCCAGTCATAAGGATATATAAACTACTATACTCCAAAATACTACTATACTGTCAAAATACTTCTACTATACTGTCAAAATTCGTTTTTTTTGTTGTTTTTTTTGGCATTCAAAACTTAAAATCTCTCACTTTATTTCTAGTACTGTGACTACTTACAACGTTTACAACAAATTTACATAAATTATCACAAAGACGTTATTAAAAGTTTTATAATGAGAGTAAAAAAAATAATCATCCTACTGAAAATCAAATCTAGGGAGCAAACTTTGCTCTGGTGAGGACTTACTTTGCCGAGAAGCTCTCCGAGAATGACATCCTCGTGATTGAGAATCCACTTCTTATCCTGAGCAAACAAAATAAAAATAGCAAATTATCTTTCTGAAGCGTGTTCATTAATGAACTAATGACTCGTGCAGAGACGAACAGAAGAGAGATGCTGCGAGTCCTGTGGGTCAGTCACTCTGATGAATGATAATGATGCAATTATCACCTCATTCCACAAAAACACTCGCTTCGATAGAGACATACTGCGGTATCAACTGAACATCACCAAAATCCCACATTCTATTGCGAAGCATTTTTTTCAAAGTACCAAAATATACTTTCAAAATAAGAGAAAAACAAAGTAGTACAATCCACTGACATTTGCAAATTACACCATGTTGACATACATTTCATGAAAAAAGGACCAGGAATGCAAATAAAGCAGAATAGAGTCACCAAAACACACCTGTACATCTATTTGTCAGTGATTTCCTCTTAGCGAGTTCAATTAAACATTTTAGGTCAAACAATTGACCCAATCTGCTTTTAAGGATCACAAATAGTCGATTTAGCGCTGTAGGCGACATTAGAGAATTCAAAGAGTTTCAAAGGCAATTAAAACACACAAAGAAAGACCCTTTTTAAGACCTCTCCGCACTTACATCAGTGCTAATGACAACAGACATTTACTACAATGCTACGATAATGGCATCAATTAAAAGGCTGTTACTGGAAACATCATGAAGACAAGTGACCTTCTATTTCGACAATAAAACCTGGACAATAATGGACTTCATTCAACATGCTAATCCCCAATAATAAAAAAATAAATAAATCAAAACTGTATTTTCTGGGTTTATACAGATTTGTTTAGTTTCACTGCTGTCATTTTACTACGCATTTCCCTTTGCTTGTCTTTTAAGTCAGAAGTTCCCGAACCTTTCAGTCTGCGCCCCACAAAATAACAATGCCAGTGACTCACGACCCCTAATATTCCCTGAGGTGGTTATTGATATATAATCCTTGCACACAACGGCGCACACATATTAATAGTCTCAAGTCTATTCATCGTTTAATTTTAGAGAACACCACTTAGAGACCATCCTCCATATGTAGTTGTGCCCTGCATTTATTTTTAATGTACATGAGTGCCGTAAAGGTGTCAGACAGTTTAAGCTGGTGACATAAAATGAATGTGCTGCATAAAACACTGTTGCTGTGCCTTTAATACAACGTAATCACCCCAGGGATTACAAGCTGTTTTGTCAAATCATGCTTGCTATGTATTTTATAATTCTCTGGAACATAATTAATATTGAACTGTAAGCACTTCTGTCTTTGTGTCGTGTCTTTTGGAAGCCCAAATACAGAAACAGACGAAGCTCTGTGGAAACAGCAGCGTTTAGACGCATTTTTAGCTTCATCTCTGCTCTAACGTTGCAGCGCCTCTGGCCACGGCCCTTACCTGCGCAGTTTTGGGTGCGTAGTAACAAACCTTTGTGATCTCACAGGGGGCGGAAGTATTTTTTGTAGTCCCCAAAATTCGTTCATTGTAGGCTTGGCTAAGCTAACTTTGTAAAAACCAAGGTCTCCCTTTGCACTGAACTTAGAACTTTTTACGTTCAGAGATGTTGTTTATGTTCACACAGCTACATTACACATCAACTAAAGTTTAAAATATGAGAACATAGTGGACCACCCCTTTGATAAAATGCGTTCCTTTCTTTTTGAAAGTGTTGTGAGAAAATGCGGCACGTTTTCGTAACCTGCTTGCGTTGTGAGAAAATGCAACGTGTTTTCGTGACTGGTTTATGTTGCAAGACAATACATCACGTTTTTGTAATTTGTTTGCGTTGTAAGAAAATGCACCACATTTTATTAACTTGTTTGCGTTGGGAACAAAACTAAGCATGTTTTTTTTAAAAAGTGTTCGCGCTATGAGAATTTGCAGCATGTGTGCTGTCAAACGAATAGAGATCTTTTCTTAATTTGCAAACTTTTTTTGTAATTGCAGCACGTTAAGCTCTCTAGGCCACCGTACAAACCTTTAAAATGCAATGTACATTTGTACGACACTAATAAATCAAAGCCTAAAAATTACACGACCATATGACGATTTCAATTTTGTCTCTAAATGTGAAACTCCACAAAGTCTGAAGAGATCTCAGCATTCGCAGGGGTCTGATAGTGTTTCTTGCATGCAGCAGCAGAAACATCCCCACTATTATGATTTCAGTCAACATGCTCGGATGAGGTGCTTTACCCCTGTCATCAAAAACCCATCAGAGGAACAGCATGGCAGGCAATCATCCAACCTGATGGATACACACACCCACACACACACAAAAATACAACACAAAAACACTTACACAAGCAGACACACAGACATACAATCTGGAAATCTTCCCATCCCTAACACAGACAGACAGACGCACAGTCACAGAGAGGCAGACTCACACAGTCACATATACACACACAGACGCAGAAGCAAACACAACAGGCTTCCTGGGGGAAATCCAGCCAGTGTGGACCACCATCAAAAAAACGAGTCCAAACTCATATTTTCTAAAGTGCTACAGTCTTTTCCCGTAGCCAAGAAGAAATCAACAAGCACATCCTATCACAGGACTTTACATCAGCAGAAGAGGTTGATTTGAGAACCGCACAGCACGACATCAATTTCATGTCCTATGTAGTTGCGTACATTAGGGAAAATGAGCAATGCACCCGCTAAATTTCTGCAATAAGACATTTGATGGTTTCATATTGGAAAAAGAGTGATAGCTTTAGCAGTGAAGACATCTCGAAAGACTATGCTGAAAACAAAATGGCTTGTTAAAATGAGAAGCAGGATGACATTTCACCTTTATGACAGGGTTCAGGAGCACGACCCCAGATTTCTTGGTGATGACTTGTTTAGTGGTGTAGTGATGATCTATGAGCTGAGGGATGGTGGGGAAGCCTGTGCCTTCAAATCTGTACTGATTCTGCAGACAAAAAGAGACAAATGAAATCAGACAGCGAGCTTGTAAAACTTGTTTTCTTTTTTTGTAATCAGACTCAGAAGAAGTCAAATTAAATGTATTAACTGGCTTTTCTCCAGATATTTTCAACAGACCCTCAAGAAGCCTTTTTAAAATCCCGTTTAAGGGTCCCGAAAATGAAAATGAATATTAGCTCACCCTTTATTAAATTCTAAATGCCTAAATTCTAAATAGGCTTTAAAATAGCTACGAGAAGACTTTTAGTGCTCACATAAAATAACAGTAACGACTTTTTACTCTTTTTTTTTTTTTTATTTAACGGATTCTTCTCAGCGTCAGTATAGGATGCACTTTCATGAGCACTGTGCACTGATGTATCACCCGGAAGCAACTACCTTTGACTGAAACAATGCACAAGCACGATGCACATAAACAGCACATTGCTCTCGTGAATGCTTGTGTGACCTGTACTGATACTAGTGTTGTCACAATACCAAAAATTTTGACTTCGATACAATACCTAAATTAAATATTAGAATATCAATACCAAATCAATACTATAGAATAAAAAAGAGGAATTATTACTGAATAAAATTATTATTATTATTTATTAATAACACACAGTGTTTGCCATCACCTGTGTGTACGAATAAATAAATAAACAAACAGTTAAATTAATATTTATAAATTTTTTTTTTATTTTCCTGAATATGTTGCTTGGTCCTCACACTGTCCTTATCACACAGCTATCCTGTCATATTCATATATTATAAAAAACATTTTCGCTGTACTTTTTGATTATATGTTGCATATTTGTATATATTTATGAAATATATATATACAACGCTGTGGTGCAGTAGGTAGCATGTTAGTCTCACAGCAAGAAGGTCGCTGGTTAAAGCACCAGCTGAGTTGGTTGGCATTTCTGTTCAAAAGCCGCTAAATGCCACTTGCCATTGACAACAAAAGTTGCTATATCCAAAGAAACAATCAGAAGACGCTAATCGAATCATATGTTTTCAATGTAGCAGCACGCTGATACGCCGACTTTTGTGAAGAGACTGTTTTATTCCGCTTTCGATTTTAAAAAATTTCGAGTTTGATGAACTGAATGAGCCTGTCTGACTGTCAGTGAATGGCAAATGAAACGTCCCATACCTCAAAACTTATGTGCATTATAAGAAAAAGAAAACACAATGTAAAGTCCGATGTGTAGCATGCATTTATAACGTTTTGTTGCACAGTGGCGCTGATTTACTATACAGTACATTAAGCAGCAACTCCATTTCACGAAAGACTTAAAGGATAAACAAGAGTCCAAGACCTTAAGTATGGTGAGAATAAATGAATAACAGCTTCTAAAATGGTCTGAGGCATCCTCTTTTTCCCCAGAAGACCTACTTTGTGTTTTATTTGCTAATTTGAGCAATTGATTTTTAAAAAAGATAAATATAGTATATAAAACTATACATTATTTATATTATATCATATTACCCATATGTCTGATAAGCTTTTTATCTTAAGGGACGAGGCACAGAAAATGATGTTTCACAATTTTTTTACACTACATTATTTGAATCTACCAAGCCTAGTTTACAACGATTGCAATGTTTACATTGCTCTACTTACATTAAAAAAAATCTAAATCCCAAATATCAGAAATGACAACATATTATTAAGATTTAATTAATGTCAGTTTTAATGTTATTGAGTAGAGCACTCACTTGACAGATTTCATTCATTCATTCATTTTCCGTCTGCTTTTTTCCTGGTTTATCACAACAAAATGAACCGCCACTTACTTGACAGATTTATGTATTTTTAATTTTAGGTGGTTTGTATAATGTGTTTTTTGTTTAGTAAAATAATTTCTAATTGCATCTTTAGTGATTTTCAAATAATTACACGTCTTGTCCCAATAGGTGGATTTAGAGGTTTTTGCAAAAAAAGCACAAGTCAATTTAGCTGGTTTTGACGCAAAAAAAATTTACCTTGTAAAAAAAAAAAAAAAAGAATTAAAGAATTGTCTAAAGTGACAATTTTTTAAAAAAGGGTGTTTTATTTTCAAGCTAAAAACCTTATTACATATAAAATCAAACGTCTAAACCTAATTATAGGAGGCTGATAGAAATTGCTCATTTACAGGAAAAGAGGTCTGATGGATTTCTTGTAAATTTTGCATCTGAACTCCTCATTTCTAGATATATAAAATTTTATTAATCTTATAAAAGATATTTTTGTGTTTTTATATTGAAAAACAATTAATTGATAAACAAAATAACAAACAAATTATTACTCAGTTCAAATGTTTGTTGTGAGGTTTTTATCTGCAGTTAGTTAAATTAATAAATAAACAGGATAAAGTAATGCATTGTTAAAACAAATTAGGGTCAATAATATTACTGCAATTACACACGGACTATTTTATCGTCTACTCACATCAGCGAACTGAATGATGAAATGTCTGCGCTGTCCGTCGGAGAACACAGACAGCACGTATTCTCCAGGTTTGCCATGGCTCTCGCGCACCAGAAAGTCTCCCTGTTGTTTTAGTAGCTCTTGCGCCTCTGTCCTGGGAATGGCACCATGATACCACTCCTGCTCGCCCAGTGGCTTCTCACTGGTGGGTATCACGTCGAAAAACTTAGGAAGGACGAGAACCAGGAGGTCAAAGCAGAGAAAATGACAGGTCGGATAGAAACGAGGAGGTGTTAATGGAAAAAAGCACAAGACTGGGATTACACTTACTGACGAAGAGCCCAGGACAGACTTGGGCGAGCGGATGATTCCAGCGATGGAGTGTCTGAGGGTGTCAAACTTTGATATCCTGTCTTTGCTTTTATCCTGAAATATAATGTGCTTGTCAATGAGAAAGTCTTGTTGTACATTCACTGTGCACAAAGAGAGAAGAAAATAAAGTTTTAAATAAAACAAATCAAATACTTAGGAAAGAATAGCAGAAAGACAATTTTTTTAATGTTTTTTTGTTGCCTTTTTGAGTGCAATGACAAAACTTTTTTATACTGTGAAAAAAAAGATTATCTGAAAGTCATGAAAACGTCGATTTTTTGCTAACTCGTTTTAATGCTAATGAAGCTTAAGCTTTATTTTTTTATCATACAAATTTTATTTTGATGTTTTAAAGGAACACTCCTTTTTTAAATTTCCCTAGAGTTAAACAGTTGAGTCTAACTATTTTTTTATACTTTCAGCAGATCTCTGGGTCTGCTGGGTTCACTTTTAGCTTAGCATAGCATAAATCATTAAATCAGATAAGACCATTAGCATCCACTCAAAAATGTCAAAAAAGAAGCTTAGATAATTTTCCTACTTAAAAAGGTGATCCAGAGTGTATTTTTAAGGCTTAGTTGTGTTTATGGGGTGCAAATTAATGTGTGGCCATGCTTCATTTGTAAAACAACACATTATTTTTTCATGTCTTTGATTATATACTGCTACTCAGCTAACATAAAAATGACTGTTCTGTTTCTTAGATCGTCACCAGAAAGCACCATGCCTCTACTGGCACACACTTTGCCGTTGTGTAAATACTGTCAGTCAGTGTAACTGTTAGCTTTATCAATGTGATTTCGAATTACAGGGGTTTGACAGATAAATATGAATTTGTAGCTAAATTGTTAACGCTGCCAAACAGCATTTGCCATTGTTTACATGCTTGTTTACATCCTTGCTACAACATACTGTTAACGCTAGAAACTGTGCATGTAATAGATCAATTTTAACAAGTAAAATACTTACAGGTTGCGGCTCTCAATCCACAGCTTCTATGAATGTAGCTATGAATGTAGCTGCTCTTTCTGTGAGGATTTTTTAGCCAAATCTACCACAGAATTGGGAGAGATTTTGGAAGTTGTTCTCTGTCAAATGGTAGTGATATATATTTTTTTTATAATTTCCTGGAACATAATTAAAATTAAATTCTAACCGCTTCTCTCTTTGTCTCGTGTCCTTTAGAAGCCCATTCAGAGACAGAATTAGCTCTGTGGAAATAGCAGCACTTGGATGGCATTTTAGCTTTCCTTTGCATTGAACTTTGAGCGTATTGCATTCAGAGATGTTGTTTATGCTACATTACACAGCATCTAAAGTTTAAAATATGATATCGTAGTGGACCACCCCTTTAAAGCTTGACTCTTCTGTAGCTACACTGTGCCCAACAGAAAAAGAAAAAAAGTTGTACTTTTCTATTTCAATATGGCTAAGAAATGTACTCTCTTTCCACTGTAATGTTCAAGTAACTTTGGTGCCATACCATGGCTGCAGCAGCTGAAAATAGTCCCCAGCTAGTTAACATGTTTCCCTCTCTCTTTTTTTTTTTTTTTTTTTTTTTTTGAATGAGATGCTAACGATCTAATTCAATTCTATTATTTATGCCAAGCTAAGCTAAAAGTGCTCCCACCAGACCCAAAAATTGTCTGAATTGATTTTAAAACGGTTCGATCTTAACTGATTAACTCTAGGGGAATTTAAAATGAAGTGGAGTGTTCAGTCAGTGTAATTGATTTAAGTGTAAATGACTTTAAAGTTAATTTGATTCAATTTAATAATGTAAGGCAGATCAAATACATGTTTTACAGTGTAAACATTGCACTATTAAAACATCAGAGATTTTTGTAGCACTATGATATGGTACAACCAAGGAGCAGTTTTGCTAGAAAAACCCACTTTTTGGGTGCATGGGGAAAAAAACTCAGTTACAATCCCTGCAGTGCAAGTACTCATTTTTAAAACAGTCTTAATAAATCATACTGTGCATCAATGCACTGCCAAAAAAGAAACGGATAAAAGCAACAACAGTAAAAGTGAGAACACACTGCCCTCTTCTGCATCTTCAACACCAACAGCTAGTCAAATCACAAGCCTTCTTTTTACACAACTAAACTGCACATAGATCATAAAATTAAATGACAGGACAAATGAATATAATATTGGAGTGTAGCTAGGAAAACTTTAAGACGTTAAAGAAAAGTTTAAGACGTTTAATAACATCACAATTACTGCTCGTTGGCAATAGCAGCTGTGGTATTTAAATGTTTTCTACTGCCCTGACTCAGTGTAGGGAAACCACTTCACATTTATTATCAGTTTTTTATAGTGTGCTGTGTCTCATGCACCGGTTGCGCAGATGCGATGTGCGCCACTTTGTAAGATTATTCAGTAATATCAAAATTTCTGTTCTCTCATCCTTCCGACTGACTTTATTCTTCGGAGGGGAATACTTTCAATGCTGCTAATAGTTTGTAAAGACTGGCTCATTGTGGTCAAAGTAGTTGATTTAATTAATAAAAGTGAAACTGACAGGCACATTATGGATTGTCATTAACAGAGAATTTTTTAGCCTATAGGCTACTCTGAAACTGAATATTTCATTGTAATTTTATTTATATTAATATTTGATTTAACAGACCAGATTGTGTTCTGACTAGGGTAAATGGTGGTAGCCTGAAACAGATTTCAAAGAAAAATCTTAATATTAAAAAAAAAACAAACCAAAAAAAAAAGCTGGCCCACAAAAGATCAATGTCATAACAAAGGCTCAAATAATGTAACCTAGTTTACAGCAAGCATCATGTTCTTAGTTAGATTGTGCCGTCAATTTTTACTAAAGAAGATATATTGTTGGAGTTTATCACAAGAACTATATAAACTGTAATATTATGCTTACATTTTTTTTTTAAAAGGCACAGTATCGTGATCGGAGCTGTATTGGTCGATACTCAGAATTTTGAGGACCGGTTCCTAAAAAATGGTATCGATGCATCCCTAATTGTACCTAATGTCCATGTGTGTTTTATTTTGAGCTACTGATTTCAAATAACAATATTTTCTATAAAATTTACAGCATTTATTTGCAAAAATATCAAAAGGTCTACTTCTAGCAGACAGACTATTAGTGGTCTATTATTAAAAATAATAATGTAAAAAATCAATAACTACTAAGGTGAACACTTAAACAAAACGTTAAAAACTACAATTCCACACGGTAGTTTTACAAACAAAAGACGGTCACACCAACTAATGTTGATTTAATTTAGTTAATAGATGTTAATTGATAAATACAACATAATTATGGCCTTATTTTTTTGAAAATGTCCTCAATTTAAAGTATTTTGACACATAAGGGGATACATTGATACAGTATTGTAGCTTTGCATTTCTTTAAGCCCATGAATGCTATAGGAATAGGAATGCTATTCACACTACCAATCGCAGGTCGGCGTTGCATTTAAAAAGACCGCCCAAACTGCAATAGCAATCTCTCTTTCTCTCTCATTCTTTCTGTGGGTCTCTGTGTGGACAGTCTCTCTTGCTAGTCTGAGAGAATGCGTTTGGTTTGTGGTTAATGCTCTTGTCTAAAATCTTTTGAAACTGCAATGTGTTTGTTTGTGAACTCATCCAGTTAACTGATACCTGTTTGAGTAATACCTCGGAGAGGGTGTAGAAATGAGCAAGTCATGCGATATGCATATACAACACTCAGATTCATTTTTGCATTATTCCAGTAGGTTCAGGAGAGTGTGCGGTTTTGATTATGTTTGGTAGTTAAGACGTTTGCTACATTGAAGATGTTTCTTTTCATGCTTTTCTTATAATTTTCCGTTTAGTTTGTTCAACACAGTTAGTGTTTTGTTATAATTATTTCTGTGATTTAAGCACCTCTAATTACCTCCTCTCCAACAGGTAATTTATCATTTAATTATTGTAAATATGTTTTCCTTCACTGTACAATTTTTATCACTTATAAAAATCTAACTAAGTTACTCATCTAACTAAGAATAGGCAATCAATTAACAAATTGCCTGTTGTCTCTTTCCCTATCCATTGGTCAAGCACACACTAAACTATTATATGTTATGTCAAAATACTCTTGGATTATTATTAACATCTAAAAGGAAGTAACAGCCAGCAAAAAATAGAAACTCCTCCTCTTCTGGTGCATGACAGGATGTGGCTAATCTGAGCTCAAATGAGAATCCGGCGGATATAAAACACCATCTGCGGGCGATCCCACGTTTTCTTATTCAAATCTGTATACTGTAAAGATCTAGTCTGAATGCCTTACCAAGTGGTGCATTACCATTGAGTTGACGGAGCGGGCATCCTCTTCGTAATTGACGACGGGTGGTGGCTCTTTGCCCTCGTTCTCCTGCATCTTCTGCTCCAGCAGTTCTCTCTGTGCCATGAGTTTGGCCTCCGAGCAGCGCAGCAGCTGGACCGTCTGTCTGAGCTCCTCCAGAAACTGTCTCTGACTGAGAAACAGCACCACGCTGGAAGAGAGACAGAGATCACACTGCTCAATCCACAATAAACGCTTCTTTTAATCTCTTATTTCAGGACTTTTTTTTCAGAGCGTTATGTAAGAGGCAGAGGCACTGAATGCTATTTCTGGGTAAAATGTGTCCTAAGTTCTTTTAACTTACCAGAATAAAAATTTCAGAAATATATTGTCAGACATTTTTATTCTTGAAATTTTTTTAAATAGTTTTTCATTCATTCGTGGATCACAGTGGAGCCCTAAAGAACTATCCAGTTACTTTAAATGGTTATACTTTGACACTACCCTTTAAAAAACAAAACAAAAAAAAAAGTTCCACCCAATTTGTCAAGATGTTTTAATAATTATGGTGGCTTGAGAGAGCCAACATACTGTTATAATATATAAACTTAATATTCTTCCGTCTTCTTTTGAGTCTTCTTTTCTATACGCATCTCCTCCTAGACCGTTCAGGCTACAATAACCAAACTAACAACAAACCTCCAAACTGGTCTGACTCGGGTTGCTATATCTTTTCTAACTCATGTGACTTACGATTATCCTAAAACAGACCCAGAAAATTCGAAAAAGTCCCACTGACTTAACATTGGACCAAATTTTGTGACCTCATAACTCTGCATCAGACTGCCATACAGACTTAAGGTTACGCGTATTTAACTCAGGTTTCCTCCGGGTGCTACGGTTTTTCCCTCAGTCCAAAGACATGCGCTATAAGTGAATTGGGTAAACTAAATTGGCCGTGGTGTATGTGTGTGAATGTGAGAGTGTATGGATGCTTTCCAGTATTGGGTTGCAGAAGAAAGGGCATCCACTGTGTAAAACATTTGCTGGAATAGTTGGTGGTTTATTTGGCTGTGACAACCTCTAAAAAAAGTCAGAGACTAAGCCGAAGAAAAATGAACGAATGAATAAAATGTACCTACTTTTTATTCGCCTTGAGTCTGAGATTGAGTGTTTTCACTAAGCAATATATTAAAAGCCATAAAAATCTAATGCATTAAACATGATACATAACACGAATGCAGTCCTTTTAGATCTGTTAGTTTGTTATTATCTACAAATACTCTAATAAGAAATTGTTGACTTGTTGTAAAGTTACTTATTGCTAGAACATTGTCTGAAGAGGAAAAAATTTCTGCTTTTTTTTACCTTACTGATAAACAGTTAATGTGACTTTTTTCAATTTTATACAGTTCCTTGTACAACACCGATGTTGAAATTAAGAAACATCGCAACGCATTAGGAAACTCCAATACTGTAAAATACTGGGGTACAATCATTTTTAATATTTTAAAGATATGGTGCAGAAAAAATGGAATTTAATGTAGTGCTTCTTGTCCTGTCCCACTTTATACTATTTATGTCGATCAGGCAGTGAAGATCGTTGATTTTTAAGGAAAACAGACGTTGAACGTGGAGATTTTGTAATGGTATTTAGTTCACCAGAAGCATTTTAACTGGGTTACTAAAAATTAAAAGTCCTTCTGTATAAACCCTATTATGAATGAGACCAATTTTTGCTGTTTATTTTTTAACCACTTAAACTCTGCAGCTATTTGGTGATTTTCATCTGGATTTTGCCTACCCAAATTTAAAAGCTTTCCAAATCCACATGCAGAGGTGTAAATGCAAAAATTTGGTATCATTTTAAAGAAAACCCTTTGAATTTTCACAAAACACTATTGAAACGGTTTACAATATCTGTATATATCATCTGTGTTATAATAAACACCTAAAAAAAAAAAGGCGCTTTTTTTTATTTTTTTTTATAAACTCAAATTTGAAAGTGTACCTTTTAGGTTCAGTGTGGTCTAATTAATTTAGTGCTGTAATTAATTTTGGTGGTTCCTGCACATGTCTGTAATCATAGGAAAAAAGAAAAAGGTCTCTACCATAATCTATGCAAAAGTTATTGCATTCCAACTGATGAGAGGTGCTGTACAAGCCACGGAAACCTATCCTTGTTTGCATATTTCACTATTCTTTTGTTTGATCAAAGATAATTCACTGTGTTTGGACTACATCAGACATATAAAAGTATTTATTTATGCACATCACCTCAAAAAGAGGAGAATGGCCCTGAAGGGCACAGCATAAGGTAAGAGATGACAGCTGTCTGTGCTATCTGGGGCTGCTTATTGATCATGAATGTATTGTTTACATTTCTGCGCCATGGAAACACCACAATTTCATTTAACAACTGTTTGGCATATGAATATAATTCAGTAAAAAGAATGCTAGAACTGTATGAGCACTGGCAAGAGCTTTCATTTGAGCTATAACTTGTACATGTGTCATATAAAAAAATATGAAAATGAACCAATGTAAAATACCCAGCTCGGGTATCCAAAATACTGTGAATTTAAGTGTAAATAATTTTTATACAGTGGAATACCAAAGTGATGCATATGTGCATAAAATATAGATTCTACACTTTCAAACGACACCAATTACGGGGGTCTGGTGCAACGCTAGCCCTTTAAATCTGAAAGTGAAAGTCCATGACGTCATGGACCCGGTACCGGGTCCGCAGAGTTTAAGTGGTTAAACATGAATTAAATTTGATGGCATGATTTGCACTAAGCACAGAATTTCATCAAGCATGATTGTCATTGATTTAATTGTATACATATAAATTGTGAGTAATATATTAAAGCATCCATATTGCAGATTGAGTGTGGCAAAATAAATCTAATATCAGCAAGCTGAACTGGGTAAGTTCAGGTGTAGAGCTGAGCAGATCTGCTGCTCATTTGATTTTTGCAGAGGTGATTATATCAGCATCTCTTGTACTGGATTACCCAGCAGACCTTAAAGAATGTGCTGAAGCTGGACAAATCCTCATCCATCCAACACAACAGCACAGTTCAGTGAGCTCTATCAGCCTGAGCCCTTTCATCTTCACAGAGGTGCTGAGGTCAACAAGGACGCTCCGCTCAGCCTAATGAAGCTCTGTGGAAACACTTGAGTTCCCCACACATCATTGCTGCATCCACACACTTACAGCTGACATGAACAGAACACTAAAGCAGGAGTAACCATGAATTGATGTTATAATCCAAAAGGGTGAATCAGATTTAGGTGCATGCACAGTACAACATATGCTTTTCTTTTGTTTAAAATCATAATTCTAGTCTAAATATCTAAAAACTGTAACATCAAAAAGCATTATATACACACAAGTAACAAACATTGTTTTGTTAAACAAAATAAAATAAATGAAATTAATAAATCATCTATAATTTCATCAGCCAGTGCATGAAGTAGCATATTCATAATGTGTGATTCATTGATACCGCATATTTTTTAGTTTTTGTAAATTATGAAAATTGCGCCATGAATAAATGTTTGTCAACAGAAAATTGTACTGCTCAAATGAAATGCCTAAAGTCAACGTGCTGATGCAGTTTTTACAAACTGGAACACTAGTGAAGTAAATAGCATTTCTGATAAATGAGAAAAGTAGTTTCAGCCTGTACGTTGTATATAATGAAATTAACCTTATTATAGTTTTTATAGAATTTATAGTATTTTAATTCACTGCACAGCTACCTATTTTCAGATTTTTTTTCTTATATAGACCCTTTTCACATTTCCAGGTTTCTCAGTAGCGGAAGTCGTTATAATTGAAAAACTTTAAGCGCAGTAAACGGGAGAATGCAACAAAAACATTTTTTACAATCTTTTTTGCTGAAATCCTTAAAAGAAAAACTCCACGATGATGTTATAAAGACTTTAGGAAAAAGGAAAAAAAAATTTTTTGTAAGACTGGTGACGGCAGCCAGAGGGGAGAATAACATTATATGTATTGTCCTGCCCCATAGTCGCTGCATTGGACACCTCGCACAAGCTGTAATTAGTTTTTTTGTAATTTGAGGCATAGATAATATAATACATATAGAACTACATATAAATAACCATAAGTTTTACGTAAAAATCTAAATTTTAAAAACTTTCAAGGATTAAAGATGCTAATGACTGTTAAACGCGTCATAACTGGCTTTTAAAAAGGGTCCATTAAGATGTCTCTTAAAAAAGAAAAAAAAAAAGGTAAATGTTTAAATAAACCTTTAAAACTTAGAAAACCTTTTTAAATGTTTAAAAGTTAATTGAATAAATACACTGTGTTGTGTTTGCTTTGGTACCAAGAACTGTATATTTTCACTGGTATCGGTACAGAATACTGAAATGTTGCTACCATGACAACCCTACTTGAACCCAAGTTCAAAGTGGAAAAAAACAAGGCAACTCTTATGGCAAGAACACTTCAATAATAAATAAACAATTAAGAACAACAAACAAATGAATACACAAGTTAAATAAGATTTTTAGTGTTAATGCATGATAAGAATTCAAAAAATTTCCCGGTCACTTTGCTAAAAATGTCTTTAAGTGAGTTCATTTTATGAAAAAGGCATCTGGAATCATTAAAAGCGGGACAGTCCAGTAAAATGTGTTTTACAGTAAGGAGAGTTGTGCGGAAAAAACATTGAGTGGGGTCTTCAACTTTAAGTAAAAAGGAGCGGGTTAATCTTGCATGTCCAATACATCATCTGGTAAAAATCACTCGATCAAATCTAGTCTTAAAATGTCTTAAAATTCTGTTTGAGATTTCAGGTTGGATTTCATATAATTCATTATTTTCCAATGCATTATTCGTCTTGCCACTTATTTAAAATGTAACCTTTGTTACATTTGTAACCTTTGCAGACATTTGTTTCAACCACTTGCTTCAAAGCGTCTTTAGCAACGGCATCAGCTCGCTCATTTCCTGAAAGCCCACCATGTCCTGGAACCCAGCTAAAAATTATGTAATAAAACAGTTTTTGTAAATGGTTAACTTTGGTTTGTGTCTCCTTTATACACTTGTGATTGTATCAATGGAAACACATCTTATGACCAGGTGCGAACAGGGTCTTATGGCCCATTTCCACTGAGTGGTACGGTACAGTATCTAAAAGCACAAATGGTTTTACTTTTTCTGTTTGCGGTCACTCACCGTACGTCTATATTTGAAATAACGAACTTGAGCTCGTATTAATAACGTGAGCGTGATTACAGAAGTGTGGATTTTCACATCCTTTCAGAAACAGACAAACGTGAGAGTGACGATCAAAAAAATAAAGGAGCAATTTATTCCTCTAGCAACTTAAAAGATAAACAAACTGCCATGTTTAATTATTAACATCACCTTTTGGAGCATTATGAACTCAGGATGATGAAATTGCTTTCTAACAATGTGTTAACGTTACATGTGCTGATGAAGTGTAAAGATGAGAGGTTTGTACTGACTGTATATGTTTTGTATCGTTTATGAACCCAAATGTATGTTTTTTTTTATTTTTTGTTTTTTTTGCTATTGGTAACATTTTAGAGATCAACATTTTTTTTTAAATCGCAGATGATACAGTACCATTATAGTACAGTGGATCAACATTGATCTGCATCTATAATCAATTCCTATTCATAGAAAGGTTAGTAATTAACATTTATACATAAATATTTATGAATATAAAGGATTTTTGGGAACTACAAGTGAGAATGATGTCGACTGCAGCTTTCTGTTGTAGAACACGCCTACCAAAGGTACTATTGGTAACACTTGGCAGTGGAGAACCAAGTCTGATAAAGGTGACCCGTACCAAACCGAACCGCACTACTGATGCAGATTAAAAATAATGCTCATTTGCAGAAAACAAAGTCCACTAAACTATTCAAAGCTTTCTCTTTCAAATACTCGAGGAGTTGTTTTTCTTACTCTGATTTCTTTTCATAAGCTTTGGTAGATTCCTCCATTTTTTTCTCCAGGTCCAGCATGAGGTCCTCTTTGCTGTGCAGATTCTGCTGGGTTATTAGTAGCTCCTCTGTGGTGGACTTGAGCCTGAAATAAGTCAAACGCTCACCTTTACCACGTTATCTGACATATTAAGTCTACCACTTATTAAAGGTAGCATAAAACATCTGTGCCTACAAAATGGAAAAACTGCAGAAAAAAATATTACTAAACATAAGGACTGAAGCACAAATGCAGTCGAAATAACCCACTTACATTACTTGTAAGCTGTCTGCTGTCAAATTATTCCACAGAATCTCGTTTGCTTGAAGATTCTCGGTTTCGTCTAATAGTGTTGCATCAAATTCTACATTAGGTTCTTTGGCTTCTGGTGATCTGTTGAAATAGAAATGGAGAGGATGTCAGAAATATATTTACATTTGTGACAAAAACGATATTTAAAGTATACATGTACATAAGCTAGTATAAGGTTCTGACAGTTTGATTACCTTGGATAAAAATATCATAGTTTCAAGGTGTTGTGATTACTGCTATACAATATATTTTTATTAAATGTCTGGGTAAAAAAAAAAAAAAAAAAATTCCACCAGTAAACACAATATACATCTATTTTTTAAAGACACGTTTAAAATATTCAATGTGAACTTTTGATTTGGATGGTCTTTTGCTGCTGGAGATACTTTCACCTTAAAAAAAATAAAAACCATTTACATTCCGCAGAAATGATTTAACAAAAAATTTTCAAACTTTTGGATTTTTCCAAAGCACAGTAAATCTTGAAACTGGTAATCGTGCCATGCTTAACTATAGGTCAAGACAAGACATTACTTTTTTTTTTTTTTATAAACTTTTGGACTTTTCCAAAGCGCAGAAAATCTTGGAACTGGTAATCGTCCCATGTCTAACTATACTACAGTTAGGCATTAAACAATTACCAGTTTCAAGATTAGCATGGGTCAAGGACAGTATACTGTAGGTCAAGACATGACATATATATAATATAATTATATATATATAATTAAATATATAATTATATTTTGGGGGCTTTCACCTTTAATAGAAAGGACAGTGAATAGTATTAACGGTAAAGCATGGGGTGCAGAGAGATGGGAGGTGGGAAGAGAGGCAGCAATATAAGTCTGAATTTGTTTAACGGAGGGAAAATTTAGTCAACACATTTCTAAACATAATAGTTTAAATAACTCATTTCTAATAACTGATTTATTTTATCTTTGCCATAATGACAGAAAATAATATTTGACTTGATATTTTTCAAGACATTTCTCTACAGCTTAAAGTGACATTTAAAGGATTAACTAGGTTAATTAAGTTAACTAGCCAGGTTAGAATAATTAGACAAGTTATTGTATAACAATGGTTTGTTCTGTAGACTATCGTAAAAAAAATTTAGCTTAAAGGGGCTAATAATTTTGTCTATGAAATGGTGTTTAAAAAAATAATAACTGCTTTTATTCTAGCCAAAATAAAACAAGTAAGGCTTTCTACAGAAGAAAAAAATATTATCAGACATAATGTGAAAATCCTTGCTCTGTTTAACATACTTTGGAAAATTATAAAAAATAATAATAATAATAATAAAAATAAATCAATTCAAAGGGGGGGCTAATAATTTTGACTTCAACTGTACATACATACATACATACATGCATGCAAACATACATAAATATCTAAATACATAAATCATATTGTTCCACAGAAACCCAAAGTTTTTGCACTGCCAAACATTCCTACATCATATGTAAAAAGTAGTGGGTCTCTTCTGTAAATCATTGTGAAAATGTATGGAAATTAAACAGAACACATAAAAAATTTACATATTTGACCCATATACAGACACAAACACATTTATTTTACACATTTAAAAAAGTGCCTTACTTATAAACTTCAATGAAGTTGTCATACTCTGACAGCGGATCGATTTGGTCGATGGATGTGTGGATTTCTTTATGAACCTTCACGATTTCATCTGTTAGCAGGCTGGTGATTTCACTGTACTCCTCCAGAATCCCCTTACTAGAGAAGAGAAGAAAAAAAGCAATAAAATGAAAAGCATTGTGTGTACCAATTAATAAATGTGCAGTTTCACCAAATGAATTAATCCATCAATCTGGACTGTCAACTGTATTGCCAACTGTGAAAGCACTTATTGACCATATACTTGTTTGTCTTTTTAGCAAACCTTAAATTTTCTCATAAATTACACTAATAATCAGTTATTCATTCCTTTTTTTATTCATGAGTTTTATCATTCAATTCATTTTAAAATAAACTGCATAGATCCCTTCATACCACACGCTCCTGCATGTCTTCTATTTCCTAAATAAATCAGATATAGGCTATAGACCATGGTGTGCTTTAAATCAATCCCAGAAGGCCTTTGCAATTGTTTCCTTCATGTGGATTAACCTCTACTCCAGATTACTGCATACTCTGTGATTAAAAAACAGCTTAGGAAAGGAAAAAAAGCAAAGAGACTTCTGTTCTCTGCTAATCCTCTGACAGCTATGAGATATTGGATTGAGGGTACAACATGCAGTGAGGGTTTTAGTGTAGTACTGGTTGCGCAGGATCCACAACAAAAGACTAATATACACGTGACAGTCCAAAGCATTCACAACAAGCAGACATGGTACAGTGAGAAAGGTCTGCACTGCCCTCCACAGATCAAGAGGAAGCTGTATTCTAATATCAATACTAAAAAGTAGTATAATGTTATTATATATAACAATCATAGTTTTACTTAGGGCTGCACGATAATGAAAAAGTCTGACATTGCAATATTTTCTTTGCTATACAGTGCATTTGGAAAGTATACATAGCTGCACTTCTCTATTTTCACATTTTTTATGTTACAGCCTTATTTCAAAATAGATTAAATTAATTTATTTCCTCTTAATTCTACACACAATACCCCATGACGACAATGTGAAAAAATACTTTTTGAAATTGTTGCAAATTAATTAAAAATAAAAAAGCTGAAAAATCACATGTACATAAGTATCCACAGTCTTTGCTCAATACTATGTTGATGCACTTTTAACAGCTATTACAGCCTCAAGTCTTTTTGATTATAATGCCACAAGCTTGGCACACCTGTCTTTGGGAATTTTTCAAAATGACATCATTTCAGTTCTTTTTTTTCGATTTTGTTTCATGTACACTAGAGCCTTAACAGTAAGAGGTGGTTAAGAATTTTGTGGCTGAAGCCATCAAACTAATATCAACAGAAGACTGCCACTTCAAACATGAAAGCAAATGATCAAACTTTGAAAAAAAAAACATTATTTTCGTGGATTAAATTAATTGTTTACCTAAAAACAATAATAATGTGAGCTAGCCAGAGTTAATTTTGACATTAGATTTTAATTTAATTTTAGTCTTAGTCTTTTGACAAAAATTCCATTTTATTTAACTAATCATTTTAGTTTTGGTCTAGTTTTAGTCAACTTAATTTCATAAGATTTTAGTCGACTAAATCTACTCTAGATTTAGTTGACTAAAATATATTTGGTTTAATTTAAATGAACATGCAGTGAACCTTCGTCCACCAGTAGATACTGTCATTGGAATAACTGGCTGATCCTTACAGTACAACCTAATAGCATCTATAAAGGTCAGCGAGAGGCTACACCGTTTCAGTTAAACAAAAGCACATACTCGAGTAAATAAAAAAAAAAAAAGATGGAGTTTACCGTGAACTTAAGAATGATTCTCTGGCATGCTAATGTCACTGAGATTGGTTGTTTATATCAGCTTTTTCCTCCCCGTACGGTTTACAGACTTTTTGTCTTGGCATCAAACATAAATCTTTTTCTCTGAGCTGTTGCCATCTCACCTACATAGTTTAATCAGACAGACGCCCCTATGGATGATGTAAACGCATCCCGTGTTTACTGTGAATTAGTTACTTTTCAATGTGTGTGTGTCATGCAAGAGACATCAAGATTAACTGTGATTAGATATTTTTCAAAAACGTCTCTCAATCACATTCTCGTTTTTATTAGTCAACGAAAATGTCAGTAAATTTTTATTATAATTGTCGTCATCATCACTTAATTTGTCATTAGAATTCGTCTAGTTTTCATCAGTGGAAAATTTGTTTGTCACAAAAATTATGTTGAAAATTTTCGTCAACGAAATTACCACTGGAGCTAGCAAAATAAACATTTTAAATTTTGATTTCACATAGATATAAAAAAAAAAACTAATTTCGTTATGACTGAAGAAACAAAGTCATATAGATCTTAAATAACCAGGGGGTGAGTACATTTTTATTCTGCAAGTAAATTAATGCTTTAAACGAATCGAATAGCCAGTTGTGTGATGTGGTGAACTGACTCACAGTGCACTGATCATCTCCTCCTGCATCTTCTGTAGGGAGTCCAGCAGCAGAGGCAGTGCAAACTCATGGTAGTGCTCCTGATGCAGCTGTGCGCTTTTCACCGCCAGCACGTACTGGTTGTGCAGATTATGCAGCTTCATGGTGGCTTTGTCATAGCGCTCACGGGCTTTCTCAGTCTCTTTGCCTGTAGGGAAGTGAAACACGGTCGTGCCGGTGAGATGAAAAGCAAAAGTGGAGGTGGTTTCTTTGAACATCTGATTGTGTTAGAAAAGTCTTTGAAAAACGCAGTTTGATAAACAAGTTGTAAGTAAAGCAATATTGGTTTTTAAAGGCCCAACACCAAAGTCAAAAGTGGTGGTTTTGAACCAAAGGGTATCAGCAAACTTACAGCACAACCTAATTATTATATTAAAAGTTTAAGACACCCTGGAGTACTTTTAACAGATTTGTGTCTGTTGAGCATCAGTTAGGACGACGTTAGCACCTGTCTGCTTTAATTGAGGGAGAAACAATAATTTTGAGCTTGTTAAATAATTTTATCTTCCAGGTTTAAAATAATTTTTGGGGCGGGATCAAAATCGGTGACGTAGCATTAATCTGCTAGTAGAGTGATGACACTCAATATTTTTCATAGCGGAGTTTTCTTATTCTATGAGAAGACCCTGCTTCTAAATTATTTATGAGAGCATGTAAAAGCACAAAGGCAAGGCAGACCTGCAAACTGTAAGACCCAATGACTGGATGAGACCACGTCCACGTACGGCAAGCTCAGTGGAGTAGCGCAAAATGTGGAGGCCCCCCTCCAGGGATCACTGACAGGGTCCCCAGTTGGGGGGGTTGGGGGGGCAACGCGGGGAAGCCTTCACAAATCGAAGAGCGGGGAAGGGAGGCGGGGTGGAGCGACAACACGGGGAAGCCTTCACAAACTGAGGAGCAATCACTAACTGAGGAGCGGGAAAGGGGGCGGGGTGGAGCGACAACGCGGGGAAGCCTTCACAAACTGAGGAGTGATCACAAACCGAAAGCGGCGAGAGCGTCAAAGTAGCCAGAAGTCATTCATTTTTAATGAGAACCAGTGGCGAGGAACAGCGCGGGGCGTCTTCTCCTGTGCGGGCGTCGAGGAGAGTTGAAATCAAAGTCAACTTTATGGTATGAGCTATGACGCGGTTCAGCGGCAAGCAATCAGGATGAAGTAGTCCACCGCTTGAGAGAAGTTCAGAGAACACGTACAGACCTGTGAACTTTGGTTCCGACCACGGTTGTTCCCAAAAGTTTGATTATTGCGGTTGCCGGATTTTCAATTGTTGAAAATCACAACGACGTGGGGCCCCCTAATCACGCGGGGCCCCCCGCGGTGCGTGCCCTACGGGCCCGTCCGCTATGCCACTGGTTAAGCTGTTCATGAAGGGTCGTTTATATTTGTTTCCATGATTCAAAGGGTTTGTTGCATTTGTTTTCCCGCGATGCCGTCAGAGCTGATACAGCAAAGCTGTTGATTTTCAGCAAGCATTTTTGTCAGGAGAGCTGTACAAGAATTGGAGGATGGCCGACCTCGTCTTTTATCAGTTAAGTTTGTTACCATTCAGGCACATTGCCTATTCTATGTTTAAAATCACACAGATTGCCAGCAGGGTTAATGGTTGGAATAGACATGGTACAAGACCTGCTGCACTACTATCCACTGTGTCTGCATTCAGACCCGGGCACTGAGGAGGAGAGTCCTCACTTATAGTGTTTACATGGTTATCCTTTATAATAATAATAATAATAATAATAATAATAATAATAATAATAATAATGATAATAATAATAATAATAATAATAATAAATTGTGCAGGGCATTAATTTGCTGTTTATTTGTTTGCATTTTAACTTTGTAAACTATAAAATCATGGGTTCCCTCACGGTTTGTCTCTCATTTTGTGAGTCAATTGAAGACAATTGTTCGCTCCCCTTTTTTCTCCTGCTCTGCCGGCCATGCCCACTCCTCCCTCTGCTCGCAGAGCTCCACTTGGATAGACTTGAACCGAAACAGGGGGGTTTCATGGCCCTTTAAGTGGACCTAACTACTAGGTACTTTTTAAAAATCATGTTGTATTGAACAACACTTAAAGTGCTACTGAGGTGGTATATGGATATGGTTAGGGTCAGCTTTGGTGGTATAGGTAGTTTAAGAATGGGATGTAAAAGATGGGTCAGCAGTATGATTATAGATGTTACTACAGAAATTAAAACAAATGTAACTACATGCATATAATTTGTTTAATATAATTACATTGATGACATAAAAACATCATTGTACTGAAGTCAATTGAATCAAATTATTATGACTCAAAGTCAATAGAAACTATTATAATGTCTATGCAGTTAAGACAAAATCTAGCAAAATCTTGAAAAAAAATGCATAATTCTAATGATCTGTGATTATTTTATTGTATTATAATAATGCTTTGCCAGTCTTATTTTAGCAGAAGAGCCAGACATATCATGGGAGGCTTCAAATATTGTACTTGACAAAGGGGGGCATTGAAGTCAAAAAGGTCAAGAAGCTTGTGTTTCTTTTTTCCAGTTGTCAAATTAAAGAACTACAAATCTTCTTCATTCCAGAAAACAATAGTATACTACTTTTGTGCTCTGTAAAAGATTTGTTTGCACTGCTTTCATACAAACAATAAAGGTTAATGGGGACCACAACACTTGACTTTCATTTCAAAATAAAAGACCTTTGATATATGATCTTTTTGTGTTACACAGGATAAAGTCATACTGTTTTGGACTAAAAAAAAGACTGCCTAACCTATGTTGCACATCATATCACAGTAATAATTCTCATTCTGAATCAGACCAGTCATATAAATCACTCCCATCACAGTAAGTCATTATTTGTGAACTTAGACATAGACAAAATCAGCTATTTATAATAAATAAAAAAAGAATAAAACACCTCACCTTTCAGAACAGCGTCCTTGTATTTTTCTCTTGCTAAAACAGCGTCCTTGGTTAACTGCCGGTAGGTGCATTTCAATCTCTCAAGATCACTTTTAGTTACCTGAAAAAAAGAGAAGGCAAGAAAACTGATCCATCACACTGATGTTACCTGAAATGGCACAAACTATACCATTATTGAAAATTAATAGGAGTATAGGGGAATCAAAATTAACAAACAAATGTCCTACAGAACAGTTTTACAAAAGTTCCTTTTTGCAATATTTGGATGACCTTTAATTATTAATAAATTAATTTCTAAATATTAGAAATCAAGACTAAATATTGTTAATTACACATGTACTAACACTGTAACAATACAAAGTAAATTTAAATTTCATTCAAATACACCATGTAACTTGTCAAATTTAAGTAATGACAAAAAACACAAGCCCTTTTTGAAGCTGGAATTAATGTGCTCATGAATTGGTTATATTTATTTTGTTTTGAGGTCTTTTAACAGTATTATCAAATATGTTGACTAACATGTTGACGCAGAGGCCATGATTGGCGAACAGTTGCATTTTTAAACATTTTTACTTGTTTTTAAGGGCACCAATTTCAATCATTTTTTAAGATTTAATTTAAATCCCTTGTGTCTCCAGAATGTATCTGTAACGTTTCAGCTCCAAATACCCATCAGATTATTTATCATACCTTTTTAAATCTGGGTAATGTTAGCTGTTTTAAGATTGTAGCCGTTTTTGTTGTCTGTGCCCTTAATGCTAATTAGCTAGTTCTCCACCCTCCCAATTTTACAGTAAAACACTCTCTGATATGTCAAAATATCACAGGAATGTTGATTTTTCAAGTTCATAACACCTTTAAGATGCATTTCATCCCTCTGGCCACAAAAGTGCAACACAGAATACAGCCGAAAAACGAAAACTAAAATTAAAACATTTAGCACGTTTTAGCAATTCTAGAGTTTGTCAAAAATGCATTTGATCAGATTTCTTTTATAGTGTAAATGTGCATGTAATAGAAATATCTCAACATCATTCATACAGCTGGTTACATTACACTTTTGTTACCAATGCAATAGCTGACCCATTTGTATTGCATTGCAAAGTTTTCCATTATCAGCACCACTGTGGGAAATGGAACATGTTTCCTGTGTGTCTATATGTGCGCGCACATACAGAAGGCCTTAGGCTTATCAAATTCATCCACAACTTTGGGGTGGGGGGTTAGGGGAGGGGATTGTCACTCAAAATCAGGTGTGAACCAAGCAATTGAGCCAAATGTGAAAACACCAGCTAATTGTGAGCTCCCACATATAAAAAATCTTTGATACAGCAATATACATGTCATATATGTGTACTGCATTTGTTGAATTTTGTAAACAATTTTGTTGTTTAAATATGATATTGCATTAATTTGCATACATGCTTTATAAACTGAAAAATAAAAGCTAAAGCCTATTTGTTGTGTTTATGACGCAGATCCAGGAGGCCATCAGCATCAGCGCTGGTTTCGCATCAACTCGTCTGTATCAAACAGCAATATTCTTCTTCCATTTGGCTTCTTTGGCAAATTTGTCTGTAGGCACGTGTGGTCATACGTTATCGTCCCGTGAGTTACAAATATGTGTGATCAGAGCAAACATGATTTTCCATTCCAAAAACATGAGGCGTACCTTGCTCCTTTTGACAAGAAAAAAAAAAAAAAAAAAAAAAAAGAGCGTGGTCCTCTTTTTTAATGTCACTATGAAACGTCTGAATCAGCTGGGTATTAATTGTGCAAGAGTGTTGGTGTCTATGATGTTACAATTGTAATATTTAATACTATTGTGATATTTAAGATTCAGTCAACTCTGGATAACTTGAAACAGCGAGCTCTAGTACAAACTGCTGCTCTGGGATGAGCCGCGTGCAAAATAATTGCGGCTTTTAGTAAACCATTCAAAAGACGTCCCTCTTTACGCAGAAAGTGCATTCAATCGGCTACTTATGCAGCCAAACTAAAATTATTTAAAATAATATTTTTAATCGTTTAACTGAAACTATTAATCAAACGCACCCTTTAGGTTAACAGTTAATCGATTATTTTGAGCATCCCTAGCACCAAACTATTATAAACACCATCACTACAAGTTTAAGATTAACAGATTTATTGCAATTGAAATCACCAATAATTTGTAAATTATTGCATTCTTTTTCTTCAGTGCCCCAACTTTGAACAAATGGTAAACAAATGGAAATATATTCCCATAATAGTACATACAGACTACACTACATATAACCTAAATATTTAATATATAATCTCTAAATAGCACAATAATATGTCTTAAAAGATAAATATTGCTGCAAAATTTGATAAAAGACGCCATAAAATAGTCAGTATAATCTCCTAATAATCTTTCTTTAGGTGTAAACCAAGAGGAAACACTTCAAATTTCATTGTTATAATCCATCTTTATAGATTTTTAACAAATTTTGCTGCTTTTTCTAACTTACTCTTATTTACTCCGAGGGCCGTTTATATTGAAGTTGACATTTAGCCATACCATGTTGGTGTTTTGTAGCATCTAATGTTTACAATGTAGATAGTAAAAATACACACATACATACACTATGGACAATTAGCTTACACAATACACCTATAGGAAGTCTTTGGACTTGTGGGGGAAACCGAAGCACCCTGAGACAAACACCACACAGAAATGCCATCTGACCCAGCCGGTGCTAGAACCAGCGACTTTGCGGTGACAATGCTACACTCTGCGCCACCATCCATAAAATGGGCTGATTTAACAGCTTTTGGAACAACCTAATTGTTTTCTGTTCAATTAACTTAAATTTGGAAAAACAATTACGTTAACTTGATTTGTGTTGGGACAACATGAAGGAATTGAGTAGGGCCCAGCATTTTTTACAGTGTATGCAATGACAATAAAATGTGACTAATGGATTTTTCTGACCCTGATCTTTCTAAAGGCTCACCTTGTTCATCTCGGACTCGATCTGCTGGTGGAGGCTTTGGTAACTCTTCTTAACCTGTTGCTTGTCTTTGATCATCATGGTGAGGCGGTGAAGAGGCCCTGAGTTGAGCTCCTCAGCATGGCACTTCATGATCTTACTCAACTGCTCTGTCTGCTGCACCATGTGAGTCCACGACTGATAACACAAAAAACCCACATATGAAGATACAAAGAGATAGAAATAAGAAAAAAACATGTGGGCGAGAGACTGCGAAACAAACAAAGAGATCGAAACAGATAGATATGATGAGAGGAACAGACAATGCCTGATTAACTGGTAGTGAGCATTTAACAGATGATAAGCATCAGCTCCACCGGTCTACCTATAATGCAGTGCTTACCTTGGACACATGGCTGACATAGTGGATCTGAGAGGAGTTGTCGTGCTTGTCCACCTGCTGGCTGATGTTGATCAGGAGCGATGCGTATTCCTTGTCGCTCTTCACCCGGAGGGTCATGAAGCGCTTCACTGTCTCCAGCAGCTTCAGCTCCCAGTCCTGCAGCTTCATCAGACCCTCGTGGGAGTTCCTCAGGTCCCGGCCGAACCCCATCTTACACGCAAGGCACGCAGTCTCTCTCTCTCTCTCTCTTTCGCTCGCTCAGTAGGCTGTGGTGATCAGGTCTGCATTGTTACTGTGCTGAAAGCGGATATGAGTAAAAATAATGGCGGGTTAGATGAAGTGAATGAAAGTAAGGAATCACAAACTGTCTATCTGCTATTCTATCCATTTTGATGCTGGTTTCTTGTGGTTGAGAATAACTTTTGTACAACTTGTTGAAATGTTCCATGGGCCATTTTTATTATATTTGGTCAGAAATAGGTTTATTTAAGAAACTAATCTTACAAACCGTTTGCAGGGGTCATTTCTATGATGCAATTTCCAGTTTTTATACCATATGTTGGCTGTATCACATGACACATTTATATTTGATTCTCACTTTAAAATATCTTTCGTTAAAGGAGTTTATTAAATCAAAATCTAATAAAAATGACACTGTACATTTTTTTCAAGAAGAAAACCTTTTTCTATTAGCTATGCTATAGCTTAGCCCTGTTGTTGCTTTTTTTTAAATGTTATGAATAGTATTTTGATGCTTTTATGAATAAATTAAAATAGTAGAGGATCTGAGAGGATCTGATGGATGGGGCAACCATTACTGCATCCAAAATGGTGAAAAGCCTTGGAGTAACGATTGATGACCAACTAAACTTCTCTGACCACATTTCTAGAACTGCATGATCATGCAGATTCGCACTCTATAACATCAGAAAGATCCGACCCTTCTTATCTGAACATGCAGCTCAACTCCTTGTTCAAGCTCTTGTTCTCTCCAAACTGGATTACTGCAACTCTCTACTAGCTGGGCTTCCAGCTAACTCTATCAAGCCTCTTCAACTGCTCCAGAATGCAGCAGCACGAGTGGTCTTCAATGAACCTAAACGAGCACATGTCACTCCGCTGCTAGTCCGTTTGCACTGGCTGCCAGTTGCTGCTCGCATCAAATTCAAAGCTCTGATGTTTGCCTACAAAGTGACTTCTGGCCTTGCTCCTTCTTATCTGCTCTCACTTCTGCAGATCTATGTGCCCTCCAGAAACTTGCGTTCTGTGAATGAACGTCGCCTCGTGGTTCCATCCCAAAGAGGGAAGAAATCACTTTCGCGAACGCTCACGCTCAATCTGCCCAGTTGGTGGAATGAACTCCCTAACTGCATCAGAACAGCAGTCACTCGCTACTTTCAAGAAACGACTAAAAACTCAACTATTTAGTCTCCACTTCACTTCCTAATTTGCAATTGCCTTTTTGAATATCACACTAACTGTACAAAAAAAAAAAAAAAACTAATACTACTAATACTTCCCTTCTTAGACTTTACAGACCTGAAACTTGCCTTTAGTACTTATTCATTGTTGCTCTTAGTTGTGTAAATTGCTTCCTTGTCCTCATTTGTAAGTCGCTTTGGATAAAAGCGTCTGCTAAATGACTAAATGTAAATGTAAATGTAATAAATACAATTAGCTTCACATTGTTGTCACATGCATAAGATATATAAAAGCAACTAAATAACCACAGGATGTACTGTGCTCTGCAAAAGTCTTAGGCCAGGGCTATTCAATTGGCGGTCCGCAGGCCGAACTTGGCCCTAGAGCCAATTTGTTCTGACCCTCCAAATAGTATGACCAAGACATCAAAAGTAAATTTAGCTCAGTAGAAAAAGGGCCACTATAGTTATTAGGTGACGTGCATCTGTTCAAAACAGTCACCTGACATCAAGTATCCGAAAACATTTGGATACTTAATCGTAAAGGCTTCTCAACGCCATGTTTCTGTTTCACTAAACGAAACTGCTGCAACTAAACGTTATGTCACCTGTGCACTGATTAAAGTTCCGAGCTTATACACCAAGGCTAATATGCACGCACACTGGATAAACTAGCAGCGGGCCATTCACATATTGTATCTTTTCTACGAGCAAGTTTATTATTTTCAATGTAAGAATATATGCCAATATGCGTGCGCACCCAGTAGAAAACATAGTGGTGAGTTGTGTGTGGCTTTCAGTGCAACGTAAACAAAATGTATGTTAGACGAATTATTGGAAAATATTAAAATTATGATGCATGTATGTATGAACGCAGATAGTAACAACAGTTTATTTAACTCCTTACCTAATTAAAAGCTTAAATTTAAATTAGACATTATAACCGTGAAACCACGATTATTCTTTAGACTATATCAGGGGTTTTTAAAGTGTGAGGCGCGCCTCCCATGGGGGGCGCCAGAGCATGTCAGGGGAGGCGCGGAAAAAATATAATATAATAAAAATATAATTATTAAGATTAATTATTATATGTATTTTTTTATTATATTTAAACGTTTTAATTAAACAAAGCAAAAAAAATAATACGTCAAATATAAGAAAAGCTTTTTTACCCAGAAGGCCATAGCTGTGAATTCGCTTTTGTTTGGCAAGCCCACCAATACAGGTATATGCCTGCTAATACAATTGGTCGGTTTCTGAGAACCCCCGATTCAAAGCTGTAATAAAGTTCACGGCCCTTTGGCCGCCGGGAAGAAGGAGGCGGAGAACCGACGCAGTTTTAAAATGATTTATTAATAACAGTGACGGCAGCTCCTCAAGGAGGCTGCCGTCTAAACCAGAACAAACGGACGGCAGCTCCTCACGGAGACTGCCGTCAAACTGAAAGCAAAAGTAAAATATGTCCGGGCCTGGTCCTCTCTCGGCTTCCTCTGCCCCCGTTACTCCTTTTATGATCCAGAGCTCTTTCCGTGGGATCCGAGGCAGGTGCGCACCGCAGGTGTATCCACTTACGCGATGGCCTCACTCCGTTCCCACGGCTCTCGGTCACGCCCCCTCGCCACAAAAGCCTTCAAGTTCAGGGCTTAAACCCAAAAGACGACGATATGATGATCAGTATTTGAGTTTAGGATTTACGTGGACAGGACCAGCTGATGAACCACGACCTTTATGTGTGGTTTGTCAAAATATATATAATAATAATAATATATATATATATATATACAGGGGGTGGGTTGTTGTTGCGCGCGTACTGAAGAGCGGTATTGTCACGCGTTCTGATCAGCTGTTTTGTCGCTTGCGTAGTCAACCACTTAAGAGCGGGGCAGAGGGTGTGCCGCGTCGCGGGGGCACTTTTCATCATTTTGGAAGGGAACTTTCTATCCAAGACTAAAAAGGGCATGTGCACTGCACAGGTTGAGCCCTATGTGTGCACGTGCCTGTGCGTGCGTGCGTGTTTGGGAGGAGGGGGGCGCCAATGGATAAGTTGTGTCAAAAGGGAGGCCCACCGTCTTAGACTTTGAAAAACCCTGGACTATATAATCGTCCAACCAAAATATATAGTCTCTGCATCCCTAATTGTTATGCAGTTCAAAACTTAACATTTTAATGTAAAAAAAAAATTCAGCGTGGGTGTCTTAAGGAGCTAAACTATATGTTGTTGTGTCATCACTCAAGTTGCAAGTCATATCTTTCCGGCCCCACATTTGAGATGCTTTTCATGAACTGGCCCCCATGACAAACTAATTGAATAGCCAGCTAATTGAAGCATCACCAGCTTCGGGAGGCTAAGACTTTTGCAACAATCTAGCGAAAGGTATGGAGGCAAGTGCTGGGTCATAACTTTTGGACAAACTATACCTTTAATATACAAACAGAAAATATGGGAAATATGTGCACAACATTCAGAACAACTTTACTTTTTGAATCAAAAGCCTAGCATCAAAAGTCTAACGTGTTTAATGTGACCTCTTTAGCACTAAGCAACAGCTTGAACTTTTGTGAGACATTTCTGAAATAATGTGCTATTTAATATCAAGCATCTTTCAAGCATTTCAAAGAGTTCTTCCTTACAGGGTTCCCATGCTTTTAAGAGCAGCAGATTCAAGGACTTTCAATGACTTTTTAAAGCACCATCAATTTTAAAACAAGTACCTATGTAATTCATACCCCAGCATATGTAGTGCCATAGAAGCACTTAACATTTCTTATACTAAATATATAGGTTACATATATCAGAGTAACTTTCAAAAAAATTTGACTAATTTAAAAAGTCAAGTTTAAAGAACTTTAATCAAATTTGCTGAATTCAATGTTGGTAATATTAAAATGTGGTCTCTAAAATGTTGAAAAAAAGTTTAAAAAATAAGGTGTTATTGTACAAGACTTAAAGGCAAGATTATTAATTTAAGAATTTCACTGTTTTTTCTCTCAGTTTTTGACAATTTGAGTACAATTGTTGGAAAAATAAAACAATAAACAATTTTTTTATTTCATTTAAGCACTTTCAAGGACCTATGTTTATTATAAGTACTTTTTCAGGCCTTGAATCCATATGTCTAAAATTCAAGTACTTTTAAGAAGCAAGGGAACCCTCTCCATTCTAAAATGACCACGTTTAAAGTCTGATTTCTTTAAAAAAATCTGTGATTTTATCTACCTAATACATATATGATATAAAGTGGATCTTAGACTGACAAGAAGCACTGCATTAAATTCCTTTTGTTAATATAATACTTGTAGAAATGGTAACTGGTGGGTGCGACTACATTTTGGCTGGTGCTCCTAAATTTTTAAAGTTAGGAGCACCAGTGCTACCAAGTAAAATGGTTCGTTTCTAGCGATGTGTATCTTTCTTTTTCTCTGCAAGTGAATCTTATAATGCCTTTAATATTGCCTATACATGCTTTTTATAATTTTTAAAGACTTTTGCACAGTACGCATGGGCCGGTATAAGATTCTGATGGTATGACAACCTTGAATAAAAATATCACAGTTTCGCAGTATTGTGATTACTGCTCTAAAATGTATTGTTTTTAAATGCTTGGGTAAAATACAAAAACCTTTTTTACAAAAACACAATGTTTTTATTTTGAGAAACATTAAATATTTTGGAACTGTAAACATGTTAGGCTAAATGAATTATTGACTTTTGCTGTCTTCGCTTGTTTGAAAAACAGACTATTTTACAACTTAAAACACCATCTTTGGTAATCATTTCTAATGTAGATACAGTTGTCCTAAAAACAAATTGCACAAAACTTTGAAGATTTTAAAACCTTGACTTTTCCAAATCACAGTATAACTTGAAAATGGCTA